ATGTATATCTTGTTAGGAAAGAGATGATCGATGGAAAAGTAAAAAAAAATAAATAAAAAACAAAACAAAATTCATAAACCCACAGAAGGAAATGAACCTATTGCTAGTTTTTTCATTTTTTATTTGTTTTCATTGCTAAAAATTAGTCAATATGTCAATCAGATTTTAGATTTCCTGTCGAGACATGAAAGAACACATGCAAACATACGCAATAGACAATTCTCAGTTTTATTTTTCATTTCGTCGAATAACAACCTGTTTAACACGAAAAAAAGCAAAAAAAAAGAAGAAAAACTTACGTTTTGAGTCTGTCTATTGTCAAATCTTGTTATCTACTACTGCTGCATATATATCTCCTTTTTTCTTTCTTTTTGTTTCTTCTTCTCTTTCTTTTTTTGGAGTGCATATGCCTTTCTCTCTTTTGACGTTTTATTGTTCTCCATCATTCTTTCTTCTTTTTCTTTTATTCATAGCGGTCTGAATTGGATTATGACTACCTTCTTTCACAATTTTATGACTTGAAAGTAAAACAGAAGAGAAGAAAGAAAAAAATGGAATTTGTCATATATCTACATTCTATCTAATTGAATCAATACGAAGAAAGAAGTTCGATGTTTTTAAATGCTCGAAGGAAATTAGCTAGAGTAAACAGCAACACACTTCAAATTCGATCTGTCCATGTGCGTGCATGTATATATACTAAGTAAGGTTTCTGACACACACACATATATATATAAATATATACATAGAGACTCAATACTCATTTGATCAGAGTGTGAAGAAGCGAAGACCGACAACAAAAGAATGTAAGTGTGTAATGGAATGTGACGAAGTAATACGAATATATTCACACACGACATCCTAGATTCAGATTTACGCATAGACATAGATAATACATGTCAAAACTGTCAAGTATTGCATATATATATATATACACAATGTGATTACATGGACAACAATAGGACAAATGATATATACACAACAAACGCAAATATAAATGAACGAACAAGTGGAAAGAGAGAAACAAAAAAAAAGCACTGTTTTTTTTTTTTTTGTTATTGCTTCTTCTCTATTTGAAAAGAAATTAATCATACATTGCTGTATCTTTCTTTTTTTTTTTTTATCAAGTCAAAATAAAACTAACAAATACATTTTCCCAAAACATTTATTATAATTCTATGAATGGATACAAAACATAGTTTGATGATTCATTCCGTTTCTATTAAAAACAATTATAATGAGAATAGATACAACTGTTGTATAGGCCTATAGTTATTTTCTCTATGTATCTTTTTCCAAAAGTACTATTAACTAGTTTTAAATGTCAACGATTGTCATTCGATAGAAAATAGGAAGAAGACCATCCACTCATTATGTTACTAACGAAAAAAAAAAAAAAAAAAAAAAAAAAAAAAAAAAAAACTTATACTACTATCACAAGAATAAATACATATATACCCTTGGGGTATGTTCAACTGTTTCTGTCTTTTTTCTTTTTTCGCGCATGAGAAAAAAAAAATGAAACGTCAATAGAAAGAGAGCTCGAGGTAAAAATACCATTTAACTTCAATTATACATAGATGTAATATATTTTTTTTTGCTACCTATATATGTGTACATATATATATATATATATGATCAAATAGAAATTATTCACAGTGTTTAAGGTAGTTTATACATTATGTCAAGAGACTATTACTCTCTTTAAGCTAACAGTCTGTCATCATTCCCATATTGCTTATCTTCTTCCTACATCACAGAACTTCGCGTTTTCTTCTGCCTGTTTTGCGTACACATACGCATCACTATAATTGATTTGGGCCAATGTTAATTCGCTTTTCATCAATAACAATTAGGAATAGTAGACGAACAAGAAGAAGAAGAAGAAGAAGAAGAAAGGACTGAGAAAGAACGCATTCAATCAGCTGAGTGAAAAGAAGGCACCATCATCGTCACAAGTAATAGTACATCATGACTTCAATGACTGTCGAATAACGGCAAGCTCATTTCTTCGTATTGTATTAACAGCTGTTTCCCTGCCTCTATCATAACGTGCATATATCTATATTGATGATGAACAAGGCAGTTGCTCAATATTATAGAGTATAGTTAACCAGTTGTCATTGTTCGATTGACGCATAAACTCGTGCCATACAGTAACTTTTCATTCATTGACGTTTTCTTTTTTTTTTCTCTCTCTCGCTCTCTTTCTTTTAGGCTTTTTTTCTTTTGTCAACAAGCTCTTTCTCTCTCTCTCTCTCTCTAATGTTTGCTCTTTGATTATATGACGGTAAGCCAAAGACAAGACGAAAAAAAGAAAAACGAAGAAGAAATTCTGAAAACGTCAAAAACATATAAAGAACAGTTGACACTTTTTTGAAAGCTTCATAAAAAAATAAAAAAAAAAAAAGAAAAGAAAAAAAAACTGTTCGAACAACAACATATAATGTTATTTGATACTCATATATTTCTATTTCTAAAACTGACAAATACTATTCAATATGTTAATAATAACAAAAACATCAAATATTTATTTCTTTGTTGATCATATTAATTAAATACAATCAACGGATAAAGTCAAAGAAAATCAAGTTTATTTATTATTAATAGATGAATAAATATAATGGAACATATGTTTTAAATTTAAGTAAAAATGATACAAGATTTTTTTTTTTTTTTTTTTTTTGTAGAAATCTTACTCACCTAAGTAATTTATTTTATTCTTTATACATATATACACCACTTGTTATTTCTTTTTTTTTTTTTTCTTTCTCGTAATGCTCATCAATATGTATCCTCACGGATGTGATCTTTTACGCGCTACCACTAGTGATTACATTGACATCAAACAAGAGAGCGAGAGAGAGAGAGAGAGAGAAAGACAGCATTTTTATCATCGATGAAATATAGAGAGAAAGACAAGAACAATACAAATCCATAATTCAGTGATGAATATCTTCTTTTACGAGGTCTTCTTTTTTGTTGCTTCTCAATTATTTTTTCTTGCCTCCTACAAGCTTACAGACACAATGACAATATCAGCATCACTGTGCACAACCTTAACCTACCATTATCAACGCTTCCGGCAGTTAGAAGCAAATCGGAAAAACATGTATCTTTCGGGTAGCGCGTCATCAGTTAAAATAACAACATACATATAAAGAACAAGAAGATATGTCAAATAGAAAAAGACACAACGGACTGTCAAAGATGTGTGTATGTCAATAAGAAGTATGATTGATAATTGCACAAATCGAAATCTCAGAGACGAGATTTGACATAAATGTGACAGCATGCATCGAATGTCAGATAGACAGGCACAAAGACAGACAGGAACAAAAGTTTTGTTTTTTTTTTTAAAATGTTTTTTTGGATTCAACAACAATTATATGCCTTTAGACCAAATGGTATTATCTCATTATCGGTAGCGGCTGCCATTGCTATTCTTGCTTTGACAGCAGTCAAAATCCCACAGGGTATGACACGCAAAAAAAAAAAAAGGAATTTTTCTATTGCTAAGTGATGGCTAACGTCACCATCAAAAAGAGAAAAAAAAAGAAAGAAGCAAGACAATGGGGCTACTTTATACAGCTGTCATATCTCTATGTTTATATGTATAACCGTTCAAATACTTTGCCTGCTGATTATGTCTTATCACAGAATGACGTTGTTGTTTTTTATTGTTGTTGTTGTTGTTATAACGTACTCATAAATGTAAAAAGTGACTGACGACAATAGGCGATGTTTCAAGATCGTCCAACAAATGTGTACGTATATGTTTTAGTTCTCAGCATGCGTAAATATCATGACCTATCTCATATATGGTCATTAAAAGCCTCCTCCGTAGGTTTTTTCCCTCCTTCTTCTTCTTCTTCTTTACATTTCCAAACTATCAGATTCTTATTATCGACATATTTGTCAATTTTAAGAAACTCAACTTACTTAAAATTTTGTTATTGTCGTCTTTATTATTTATTTGTCTGTTCCAAATCGATTGATGAGTAAAAATGTAAGTCTTATTAATAGTTGCCCATTTGAACATGCTAATAGTAAATGCTTATCTTTTTGACATGCGCGTGTGCGTCGTACAAGGGATAGACAACAGAGCGAAAATGAAATAGTGAAGTGTATGTGCCACAACACACGTCGACTAAAATCAAATGTATATATGGGCAAACAGGCAACATATAAAAAAAAAACATACACACACACACACAACACTGAGAGAGAATGATAGTGTTGTGATGTGAGAGAGATAGTGACGTGGTGTAAAAGAAAAAGTAAAATAAAAGAAGACGAAGACATGGAAATAGTTTGTGTGTGTGTGAGGGGGAGAGCGAGGGAGAGAGAAAAAAAAAGGAAAATAACAGATATTACGATAGTATACAAACATAGATGACACACAGGAACACGCACGAGATCTATCTGTTTATATACAAAGTGATCGTTAGAGAGACAACTGTTCATTGACATTGATTTGATTATATAGATAAATCTATGTCGTCAAGGACATTTATATAATTGTACATATTTCTTTTTTCTATTTTGAAAACGAAAAAAAAAACAAAAATTGAACAATTGACTAAAATTTAAAATTGATATTAGACAAATATTATAACCGCTTTCGGAATTCATCATCGATCTATTGACCAAATTTGAACTTTAATATCAATTTATTCTTCGATCCGAGATTGAAGTTTATCTTAGTTTTTAGATGCTAATATATATGAATATTAACTTCAACAAATACAATGAATGTTTTCTTTTATTTTGCTCTAATGACAGTCATCATGATTGAAATATTACAAAAAAACAATTCATCGTTTAAGTTTTACTGATCAAGGAATGTTTTTAATTGTCGAACTTAAAAGAGATTTGACAGTTGAAAACGTTCCCTGGTGGTGAGATCTCCTTTTATTATTCCTAAGATGAATTTTATACAATACGAACAATACTTTATTTATTGAAAAAGAAAAACATTTGTCTAATTTTCAAATATATTATTCTAAAGAAATTAAATTGAATTTTGTTGTTTTTCGTGGTGATGGTGAACGACTAGGTATTAAAATAGAAGTTGAATCTAATAATATGTTGAAAAAAAACAAATTTTTATATTAGTTCTATAAAATTTACTTGGATTAAGAAATGATGATATTACATCTTTTTTATATATTGGTGGAAGTCGTACTAAAATAAAAATTCAAATGATATTATTTAAATCATTTTGTTTTTTGTTTTTTTTTATACTTGGTTGTACATATAAGAAATTTTTTTCAATGCAATCATTTTTTGATTCTAATTCTTCAAGTAACCAATAAGTAGTCTTAAAAAAAAAAATGTTTTAGATTTTTTTTTTTTTTTGAAATAATAAAAATATTTACTAACTAACCATATCACCTTTGCCCTAGAGAAATGAATATTTTAGAATAAAATATTATTTTAAATTTTTATTTAATATAAATTATTATACTTTAATATGTATTGTTCCACGTTTTTCAATAAGAAAACGACCAGTTTTATCAAGTAATTCTTTTGTATCATTTGTCATATGAATTTTATTTGCTAATAAATTATGAAAAAAGAAATTTTACAGTATATACAGTGGATCCCAAAATTGTTCAATAAGATGTAATTTGGATTTTTTTTTTCGTAGTCTTAAGTGCTAGAAAAAATCCAAATAGTGATTTGAATAGAGAATATTGTTGTCAATAAGAATTCGAGAAAATGATAACCATCATGAATTTTCTCAAAGTAGGATTTCTGGAAAACCTAAATCCTAATTTTTCAACATCCAAAAGCCTCAATATAAAACTTGTTTTAACAGTCTAGAATTATAGAGCAGCTAATTCTCTACAAAATAAGACGTCTCCGAGCTTTCTACGACCTTCTCTCCAAAAGTTATAAGCATCACAAAAGCCGAAAAAATGCGTTTTTTACTCGATTTTCCCATGAATTTCACATTTTTTCGATTTTTGTGATGCTTATAACTTTTGAATGGAAGATCGTAGAAAGCTTGGAAACGTCTTATTTTGTAGAGAATTGGCTGCTCTATAATTCTAGACTGTTAAAACAAGTTTTCTGTTGTGACTTCTGGATGTTGAAAAAGCAGAATTTTGGTTTTCCAGAAATCCTACTTTGAGAAAATTCATGATAGTTATCATTTTCTCAAATTCTTATTGACAACAATATTCTCTATTCAAATCACTATTTGTATTCTTTCTAGCACTTAAGACTACGAAAAAAAAAGTCCAAATTACATCTTATTGAACAATTTTGGGATCCACTGTATATATAATTTCAAATAATTTACCTTCACCATTAGATTCCATTCTTGATCTAAAATAAATCATTATTTTTTTTTGTCATTTACATAAATAATAAGATAAACTTACGCAGTATTTACAGTATCACCAAAAAGACAATATCTATGTTTCAAAAATATAAAAATATTTAATCTACTGTTTTTCTGTATGTGTATGAAGCGCAATCTATGGAGAGAGGGTCTCAGCCAACGACTAACACAGATTAATGTCTCGTTATTATATATGAACTACTTTTCTGGATACATAGAATAAGGCAATCTTCGTGTGATTAGCAACAACAACAAGTAAATTGTATTTCATATTTTAATTCCACAGAGGATTGTGGTAATAGTTTTTTTTTTGTTTTGCTTACCGAGGCATTTTTGAACCAACAACACCAGCACATACAGGTCCTAAATAAATAATAATAATAATAATTATTATTTGAAAATTTTCAAATCATATCTTATTTACCAGAATGTAAACCAACTCGAATTCGAAGTTTTTCATTATTTGAATATGGTATAATACAATTTTTTGTTGATTGATGAATAAGTTCAAGTGCCATTGTTGCTATTTGATATGCATGTTCATTATCATTCTTTTTTGGTACACCAGAAACAACCATATCTTTAAAAACAAAACATAATTCTTATAAAAATAAAATATAAATTATATAACTAACATGCATCTCCAATTGTTTCAACTTTATAAACATCATATCGATCAATAATTGTATCAAATGTTGTATAAACTCGATTAAGAAATTCAACAATATCAATAGGTTTACATCGACTTGCAATAGTTGTAAAACCAACAATATCACTAATGAGAAAAGAAAAACAAAAAACCAAAATTCATAATCTAATTTTCATTGAAAAAAAAGAAAAACAATAAATTTCAATACCTAAAATATATTGTACAATTTTCATAATATTCTGCAGTAACAATTTGACCAATTCGTAATTGTTCAGCAACAATTTTTGGTAACATACCTATAATAATATAAATATATGAATAGATTCAAAAATACAGAGATGAAATCGATATACACTATTCAGTTAGAATATAATCATAGGTCACTTATAAAGTTCATTTTCTTTAGTCAAATTAATAATTAGAATATGAAATAATATCTACGAAAAAGTATGAATCATTTGAGATCGTAATTTTTGTTGCTCTATTAATCAATTATCAATTTACCAGTGCAATATCGGATAATTATAAGATCTTGATTTTTCTTCAAAACATTTATAATTATATACATATAGTTTGCTAATTCTCGTTTGATTATCATACTAAGAATCGGCTTACATCTGAATAAAAAGTACTTCAATCGATAGAATGTAAACAATATATTTACATTAATCAAACAATAGATTGCTTATGATAATAACAAATCATATGACAATATGAATCAGTATAGATATAAAATTATAATTTGTTCTTTGTTTTTTTTAATACTTATACTTACTATATAAAAGATTTTCAGATTTATGTTTCTCTTGTTCAAGTTCATATGTTCGTAATTGTACAGCCTGTTCAAGACTTGTTTGATATAAAGACATTTTTTTAAATATTAAATCAATTGGACTTATTTGTAATGGACACATTTTTTTTAAATATTTTTCAATATCTTTACATATTGGACGATCATATGGATTTTCCATAATACATCGTTTAATAAGTCGAATATATGATGATGGTAATGGACAAAAATCTTCTTCATTATCATTATTAATATCATAAGTCATTTGAGCAATTTTTGGACGATAACCTATTTTCATAATTGATTCAATATCATCGTCCTAAAAAAAAAACGAAAGAAAAAAAAGGTATTCATAGTTTTGAAATAAACAAAAAAAAAAAATAACTAATAATAACCCCAAATGGTTCTAATCGTGTAGCTATTTCATTTAAAATAATTCCAAATGAATAAATATCTATTGGAGATGTTAATTTTAATTCATTAATTGATAATAATTCTGGTGCATAATAAACTCTTTTATATGCTTCAACTGATTGAACATAAGAATTAATACTTATATTATTAAAACGAAGATCATCAAGACCATAATCTTAAAATATCAATAAAATATAACAACGTTCGACAGTAAGCCTTAGTAACGTATTAGTCATATAGCACTTATGTGTGCTGTAACTAATTCTACCAAGGTTCACTTTCGGACTAATAGTTTAATATAGAAGGAATCAAAGAAAATGGCGCTTTTTTCATAGTTATCGACTTCGCTTCTTTCTTCAAAAAACTTTACCTGTAATTTTTATTGTTAATCTTTGATCAACAACACAATTTGATGAATTTAATCGTCCATGAATAAGATGTCGACTATGTATATATGATAAACCATTAAGAATATCTATTGCAAATGAAAATCTATAAGAAAATAAGTTTTTTTTTTTTGTACGAATTTCTATTAATTTTATCTACCGAAATGCCCATGTTATTGGTATTTTATCATTTTGTAAAACATCACGTAATGAACCTTTTGGCATATATTCCATATAAATAATAATTTCATTAGGAAATAATGAAGCACCCATAAATTTACAAATATTATTATGATTAAATGTTCGTACAAGACGAACTTGTTCACGTATATGACGTGTTAATTGAAAATGTTTATGTTTATATTTACGAATAGCTACACAAGTATGTCGTCTTTAAAATAAAATAAATAAGAGAAAATTTTCTCTTATTTTTTTTTTTTTCTTTTTAACCAAATTTAAACTTACAAATAACCAGCAGAACAAAAAATTTGTTGTGTACAACTAATATTTGAAAAATTTGTAGTAATACTTAAATTAGTTTCACTTATTGTCTTTTTTGGATCATTTAATGATGTTAAACTAATTGAATGTTGTGAACGAAGTGCTATTAAAAATACAATATATTAAAGTGATAATAATTATTTGAAAAGAATAAGAGTTTGAATAATAATTTATATAGAGAATTTTGAGAGCTGGAAGATATTTTATTTTGTAGAAATTTGTTTGCTCTATCATTCTAAATTGAATTCTATTTACAAATTCGAAGAGCTGAAAAACCTTGAGTTTTGGTTTTCCAGAGATTCTATCCTTAGACAACATAGCGATCATTTTCATATTCGGACGTTCTTATTGGATATAAAATTCTCTACAGAAATCACTATGTCGATGCTTATTAACATATTTACGATAATGGGAAAAAAAATTGAAAATAATTTATGAAGGAGAATAACAGACAGATAGTTAGAAATATGATTTGATGCATTTTAATCTTCTGTTTTCAACAATCGATATACAGGGTGGTGCATAAGTCACCGGGCAGTCTTTTATTTCGGATAACTTTTGATAGGAACAAGATATGGACCTGCGTTTTTCAGCATTCGAAAGAGCGATGTTCGGACTATCGATCTATATAATATTCACTAAGACGAGAGATACTTTTTTTATACAAGCTTTTCAATTGACATCTTCGTTTCTGTATATTTTCATAAATTTTCGCAATAATTTCGTCTAAAATTACGCAAAAAATGTAGCTTAAATCAATCATTTTTCGTTATAAAATTATCAGTTTGTTTTTTCGAAAGTTTACTTGAAAAAAGATATCGACGGAATAATGTATAAAGTGGTAACTTTATAACGAAAAATGGATGATTTAAGCTACATTTTTTTAAAAACCATCAGATTCAACAAGATATTTAGGAATTATCATTGACAAAAGATTAAATTGAAGAAGTCATATTCATCATATTGAATCGAAGATTGCTGCTCGTATTAGTCTGCTTAGATTTTTAAACAGATCCGCATACGAACCCAACGACAAAATAATGTTGAACATCTTCAAATCAATAGCAAGAACTATCATAATATACAGTTATCCAATTCTCCTTACAGCAAATGATAAAATATGGGAAAGATTACAAATTATACAAAACAAAGCCATTCGTGCTGCTTTAGAATTACCCATATATACGTCAGTTGAATATATACATAAAATTACCAATCTTAAAAAAATTAAAGAATATGCTATTACACTACTCCAACGATATATTCAAACTGCAACATCAAATAACGACAGAAAAACAATCTACAAGAAATATTCAATCAACTTTGAAAAAACAAATCACCTACTTACTATATACGATATATACATCGTTATTATAGATCACTGATGAGTCAATAGAATATATATAAAAATTGTTATATCGGATTCGTATACTACGAATCAGCTATTTCTTTTTTCATTTTCATATATAATATGAAATTGAGTCAATGTATTTGCTTGGTCTTTTTCTTCAATCCAGTTGTTTCTTTTTCTTTCCTCTCAACTTCATATACAATATGAAGTCGAGTGAATCTATCTGTTTGTTCGTCTTCTTATATTAAGCTATTTCTTTTTCCTTCCTTTTCACTTCATATTATATATGAAGTGAAATCAATCATTGTACTTATTCGTTCTCTTATATTCATGTATTACTTTTACCTCACATACACTTTAATAGTCAACGTGAAACCAACATAATATTATAATGGCCATTATCCAAGATGTCTCATCCACATTCATTACCACTACGACAACACATCAGACAAAAAAAACAAACTTCCGAGACAAAAGACTAATGTCATATGTCTCCTTCTTATGCTTCCAGCTTTTAATGACAATACGTCCCGTTGTTTTTTTTTCGGTTTTCTTCTCTGTATATTGTCATATTTTTAACATTAATAAAATGCTTTACCTCCAAAAAAAAAGCTACATTTTTTGCGTAATTTGAAATCAAATTGTTGCAGAAATTTATGAAAATATACAGAAACAAGGATATCAATTAAAAAGCTTCTATGAAAAAGCATCGCTCATCTTAGTGAATATTATATAGATCGATAGTCCAAACATCGCTCTTTCGAATGATGAAAACCGCAGATCCATATCTTGTTCCTATCAAAAGTTATTCGAAATAAAAGATCACCTTATATTCGGTTGTGTGAGTACTCATTTGGAATTAAGAGTGAAAGACAATCGATTAGTTCTAACTCATAAAATACATTACGATTTTTTATTACTTGATAACAGTACAGAAAGATAAGATCCTTATTTGCTTACTCAATCTAATGTTCCTACTACTCGATTTAATATCTTACGTTGAACTTCTTTTATATCAATAATCCAACTTGGATCCCATAAAAGACGTTGTTCTTGAATTTTAAAATACTATATATATATATATATATATAAAATAAATAAATGAAGTATTCGTTTTTTATTTTGACTTACTAGAAAAAATCCAATAAATGAAGAAATTAAAAGTGCACAACTCGTTGTAATTAAACCAATATGAATAGGTTTCAAAGGACATTTACCACAATCAATTGGACAATTAGAACAATTTTCATAATTTAAATCACAATATTCATCTCCACAAACTGAAAAAAAAAACCCATAATTTCATCATTCTTCAACAAAGAAAAACATATAACAAATTACATACTTGCTTTACGACTAACTTGTATATTTGTACTAACTAAAGCAATATGAATCCAATCTTTTATACCAATTTTAAAATGTGCAATAATTTCTACTATTCCAAATACAGGTATAATCACAGTACTTTCATAAACTATAAATTTATTATCCAAATATTATTTTAATTCAAAATAATAACTTACTACGAGTTGAAGATCCTGCCAAAACTAAACTATGATATATTTCACCACTCGGTGGAATCCTTGAACAAACAAAAAAAAAAAAAAGAACATTTATCATTAAAAATTTTTAATAACAAAAAACAAAATTCATTTTATTCCGTTGCCTATGATAATTTTAGATTGTATTTTACAAAACAAAAAAATTTACCAAGGTCCACAATATGTAACAGTACGTCCAAGTGCACATGCATGTATATTAATATGCCATAAACAAGCATCAGATTCAATTCTTGGATCAGTTGGATCAACAGTTGGTTCATGTGTTTTACACCAATGATACCATGCTTGACTATTATTCATCGTTCGATTTGATAATCTAATCAACGAAAAAACAAAAAAAGAATTTTTTTTTTTTTTTTTTTGATTAATAGAACATAAATAATACAAACGTATATAATGGTTTAGGTAATTGATAAATTGCCCAATCAAAAAATTCAAGTGATAAATCAACTGAATATGATACATTAAATGGAACATCTTGAGTAACTATAATATATAAAAATTAACTATAATTAAATTTTCTTTACAAAAAAAAAAAAAAATACCTTGTTTTGGTGGAGATTGAATCCAATTTATATTAACACCTAAAATATTTATATTATTTTATAATGAAAATATTAATATTTACCTTTACAATTATGACCATATTGTGCAAGTGTTTCTGTTAATATTGATGATGCATTAGATGGCCAACAATGAAATCGACTATTATCCATATTATGCCATGCCAAACATGTAATAAAGAAACTTTTAATAAAAAACTATACACAAGAAAAAAAAAAAAGAAACATTATTATATTAAACTAAAAAAAAAATATTTATACATTACCAGAATGAACATTTTTTTTTGAATGAATAACAATATAAAATGATGTGAAATATCATACGATTGTTTCTATGTGAACGAAAGAGATAAGATTCGTGTGATGTTTATCTTTCCTTCCATATATACAAACATTATAATTGCTTATTAAAAAAAAAAAAGATTTCTTTTTTTTTGATATATCGATAAAATTTATAGCAGAGCTGAACAACAGGATTATTATGGAATCCAACGAACGACGTGAGATATGAACAAGATGATTTCGTAACTGTGCTTAGAATCAATAGTTTTTCATTTGTAGTGGTATATTTTATAATCGTGTAAGACTTACATCAAATGTTATATTCTCACAACTCAGATGTTCTAAAAATTTATGCAAAAATTATTGAGTCATAATCACTTCAATATTTGCTATTGAAATTTTAATAGTAAAATGAAGTATTAGTTAATTAAAAAAAAATAATGAATCTTCACACAGAAGGACATTAGAGATCATGCAAAATGTATCGAATGCATTGGTATTGGTAAAAAATAATATTCCCGCTCATCATTAGACGACGGCGACCTTCCGAAGATTGGGTTGGCTTCTCTTTTTTTTTTGGTTATTGTATCATGTACTATGTGTCTATGATTCTAAAAACAAGTGTCTATCCTCTCGGACTGTTAAATTACTCCTTCGGAAGACAAAATCTTAATAGTACACGGTACATGACAATAAAAATAATTATTTTAATTTTTGATCACCAAATTACATATTAATTAGAGTGTAAAAATACGGATTAAAATGAGAGAAGATCGTAACAACCTTATTCTCAACATATCTCAATGATGACAATGCGTATTATGCAAAAAATTAGATCAAATAGAGAACCAACATCTCCGTTCTGTTGTTATTTATTCTGCTAACGAGAAAACCTTTTTCAACTGAGACGATATTCATTTTATAGGTAACAGAAAAATCTAGAATGGTTTGGTTTCCCAGACTTTCATTCTCGAAATATCAAAATTTTACTGAGTTCTGCAACAAAAAAAACTGTGGTTCCCCTGAGGTCAAGTGGAAAATCGACTTTCGATTTTAAATTTTTCAAATGAGATTAATTCATTGGACATGTTGTAATTTTTCTAGTACTACCTATTCTGAGATATTCTATATTCAAAATTCTCTTATATGTGTAAAAGCAAATTTTATTCATATATTTACATCTTCAGCTAGAAAACACTAAAACTTGTACAATCAACTAATCTCATTAAGAACTTAATTAAAATTTCGATATCTCGAGAACAAATCAAACTGATTCAATTCCTAGGACAGAAAACAAAGATCGTTTTGTCTTTTTGCTCAATTTTATTTTATTGAATAAAATATTGGGAAATGGATACTTCGTCTCACCTGTTTATTACGGACTCCGATTGAAGTAGTCCGTTACGATCTTCGGACTTAAGAAAAAAGACAGGGTGTTCGGAATGATAAAAGTCAATGTGATATGAGAAAAAATCATGATGCTCGTAACGACATGTGGTCGGAAGATCGTAACGAGCTCTGATAACTGTTTCTTAGTGGTTGAACAGCGAAAATTTGACTGGAGATCGAAATGAAACAGTCCGGAAGTTCGTAATGACAAATACATGAAGGTCGTAATGGAAACTACAGGATGTTCGTAACTATATTTAAGTTTACTCAACTTTGAGAGAATATGAAGGGACACATTTGTCTTACAGTTTAAGATGGTGCATTAAAGATATCTTGATAAATGCAAACAGTCAAGATTGGTCGTCTTTTTACTATTTCACTTCCAATTAAAGAAAAAAAGAAGAACAAATATTTTATTTTATTTTACTTTACTTTAAATCTAATTTATAGTAAATATAGAGCATAATATCATAAGAAAGAACATGAAATGTATAGAACAAAAGTTTCAATAGTTATTTTTTCATATGTTTATTTCTTGCACCACCATTTGTACCTTTAACTGGTTTAGCATCACTTGACGTATTAGAACTGAAAATTGAAAAGAAAAATATAATACACATTAGTACTCTCTTTATTCAACACAAAAATTTGAAATTAAAGTAAATGTAGATTCAAACGAAGAAAATGATTCTATTCATTTGAATTCTTATCTAGAAATAGGAAATAACAGCAAAATTCTTATTTATGATAGAATATTTTTGAAGTCTATAATCTTCACTTCTTTATGAGAACTTAGTCTGGTTTATCTTCAATACTAAATCGCTTGTATAATCAATCATATCTGAACGAAAAGACTTTGGTACATACACTATATAGTGTTTTATTTGTACAGAAGCCACTGTCATCTATCAATATTATGAATACATTAAGAGACGAAAGTTAAAAACAACTTTTATAGTTACTAAAGTATAGAGAATAGCAATGAGAGACAGAAAAATGTCTCCTGATATAATTATGAATGTACTAAGTAAATGACTGCTATTCTTGTATAGAAAAACAGAAATAAAAGTCTTTATATCAGTTACGATCTCCCAGTGAATCTGTTTTTACGAAGTTCCGGTAAATATTATTCCGATCATCCGGTTGTTTTTTTTTTGTAAAATGCATTATTCCGAACATCTGACCTTATTCATTACGATCTCCGGACCTGCATCAGATATATCAAGAAATATTCTATTCCGAACATTCGGTCAAACCATTCAAATTCTTTTCCTGCTTTTCTATTACGATCTTCTGTCCACGAATGTTTACGAACTCCGGTCAAAAAAAAATTCATTTCCGAACATCCGGATGTTCGGAATGAGGTGAGACGAAGTGTCCTTCACCCAAAATATTCTACTTTCAGTACTTTCTTTTTTTATATAAATTTTCGTTATCTTTCGATCGATTTAGTGTTTTATTTTCTTGCATATTATGAAATATATGTTGAAACATAAACACAAACGTTCACAATTATCAAAAAAAAAAAACAAAAATTTCATATACTAAAATACCAAAAAAAACAAAAACAGTGCATAAAATATAAAACAAAACAGGCACTTTTTGGCAACAGGAGAAAAAAAAAACAACTTTCAATATTTAGCAAGTATAACTAGACGGAAAAATGCACAACCGTTTTTTTTTTCAATTAAATACAAAAAACAAAACGTCTATTTATATATATTTATGATATTCAGTTTGTTAAAGCAAGTTACAACGTTATGTTTTTAACACACCGGTAATAAGGATGATAGAAAAAATATCGAAGTTATCATTAAAAAAAAAAAAAACAAAAAACAAAATTTACGTAAAGAAGTTATATAAACAACTAATACGGGTTTTTTTAAACCTAAGTACAAAAACAAAACGCAGAAATATTTTGCTATTTATAACTCGGATTCATTTACTACATTAACTTCGAGATCAGATTGACTTAAGTGAACTGTTTTTGGTTGGATAGTTGTTATTTCAACTGATGATGTTGGTATCATTGAAGCCGATAAAAGAAATGCAATAACAAGTTCATATGTACTCATCATAATAGCCGTATTCTATGTATACAAAAAAAAAAAAAGAAAGAAATAATTTAAAACAAAGAATCGTATCGAATTTGACAACCACATATTTCAATTGAAAAACTACTTATATCTTGTTGTAGAATTATTTACGACACATTCAATGATATGTAGGAAATTGTATTTTCACCGAACTTTAATGTTATAAAACTCTATATACTTATTGATGGATACCAGAGAAAAGAATGATACTTGCGTAGAGGTTGTGATCCTAGTATATCCACATATCAGCTTATGCAAAGTGTCTTTCGAAAATGATCAAAAAATTTTTTGTCCTCAGACACTTGGAAGGAGAATACGGTAACTAATCAATACAGGTGTGTCTTCTGTTTTCCTTCATTGCTCATGACTTTAGATATTTAAGCAGCCACTTAAAAATATATATAATGTGAATGATATTTTTCGAAGTCACGTACTCCCCTCCAGAAGTCCGAAGGCCTAAAAAGCTTTTTTTTTTTGGTCATTTTCGAAAGACTGTTGCCCATTTCAAAATAAAAGGCGGATGGGTATTTTTTGAATAACTTTTCATAGGAGCAAGATAGAGAGCTGCGATTTTTACCATTGGAAAGAGGAGATAAAGACACATCGAATTGTATAATATAGGTTTTCTCAGGAGGCTCTTTAAGGTTCTCTTAATCAATTTTCTAAAAAAAATGCCGAAAAATTTAGTTCCTATTTTATGACAAAAACGCAAAAAAGTGATTTTTTATCACAGAAATGAATGGAAAAATCGGCTAAGAATTTCCACTAAGACGCTTATAACTTCTGAACGAATAGATCTAAAAGTCTTGGCCTTGTGTATAGTTTGTAGATCTTCTATTACCGATTTATATACACACGAAATTAGTGAAAAATTACTTTAGTCACCTCACGGAATATGTTAGCTTTCAAAAACGTCGCTTGAAGTCTTTGAAAAAACTATACCAAATTATCTTAGAATATACAGTTCGGTGTGTCGTCATCTTCTCTTTCTATGGATGAAAATCGCAGCTCTCTACCATGTTCCTATCGAAAGTTATTCAAAAAATACCCACTCGCCTTTTATTTTGAAATGGACAATAGTTTACGTCAATCAATAGTGAACCATGTGCTGATTTTTATTTTACAGTAATGCAGTGGTTTAACTACGGCGCTCTCGAATCCAGATATCAGTCAAATTCAAAAGTGGTAGAGCCGAATGATAAGTAATTCCTAGAAAAGTTGCACATTGGTGTCACCATGTTCTGAGCTATAGCATCATGTACACTGATGCATTTCAAAATCGAAATTTTGTGGAAGTTATCTAAAATGATCTGTGTTGGGTACGAAGAGAGCAATGAGATCAGTCATCAAATATATAAGATTCAATAGTAATCAAACTTCTATAGAACTTTGTATAAGTTGATTTGCGGATATACTGGGATCAGGGTTGGAACCGGTAAGAAAAAGATAAAGCGGTCCGGTCCGACCGGTTGTTAATCATTTCTGAACCGGTCAAGCTGACCGCTTTAAAATGGTTCCAAACATCCCAAAGTATGGTAGAAATTGATAAAGTTATTTCTAGTTGTAAATTGAATTATCTAATATTTAAATAACACAATTGAAACAATATGATTTAACTCCTCGTATCATAAGTACAGAAAACTGAAATCGACCTAGGAATAGTTTTTTTTATAAGTATATCTTAGAAATTTTCAATATTCGTACTTGAGAAAATATTATTTGACTTTTTATAAAACTTTTAGAAAAGATATCCATAATCTTTATAATCATGAAGCATCATCATTTTTTCAAAAGGATATTAAGATTTTCCTAACTAATTTATATAGTACTGTCTGGTCTATTTCAAAACTAATAAAACATATGCCTAATTATCTTCGTGTCTATCATAGTATTACAATCATCGCGATAAATATCGATTATAAACTGAATAAAATTTTTAATATTGACACTATCGAAAGACTTTCTGGATATATATGTATAATGATGGAGAATTTATTCTACTTCATAGCAAAATACATAGTTCTTCTTACCGAATAAGAGCTAAGTAAAGATAATATTTTTTAAACTTAAACCAGTAAATTTCCGATAATTACCGAACCGATTCCAACGCTGACTAGGATCACATCTCTACACAAATGTCATGATTTTCTATAGTATTCATCAATTAGTATACAGAATTTCATAACATCAAAGTTAGATGAAAATGCAATTTTCTACATGTCATTGAACGCACTATAAATTGTTCTACATATAAGTGATTTTTCAATTTAAGGACAGTCATGAAATCCGACAGAGTTCATTTTATTATTATTATTATTTTTTTTTTAATCTTACTGGAATTTGTCGAATAAGATGTGTTAATAAACCACGATACAATCCAGCGAGATTTTCTTCATAATAAACTGTTTTTAATGTTTGCATAAATGTTCGATATTTTGTACCTTCTTCTCTTAAACGTGTTCGAACAACTTCATGAGGATAACATAATGTTGTTGCAAATGTTTTTGAACATGCTGCAGATATTATATAAGAACCAAGATTATATAAACTTGGATCATCTAATGAACGATTTTCCTGTGTATGCATTAATTGTAATTGTGCTTTAACTTGTTCATAAATTACAAAATGAACTATAGTTTCAGATACACCAACATAAGATGCTGAAATGCCTTGAATTTATTTAAATACAAAAGAAAATAAAATTCAATTTTATTTTTATACAAAAATTCATTATCTCTTACCTCTATAAAAACCCCAAATACCATTTTCACGATAAACATTTCGAATCAGATCAATTGCACGAAGATCTCTATAAGAAAAAAAAAAAACATTTAAACGAATAATAATTTAATAAAATCTATAATAAATATATATATAGATAAAAAGAAAAATTAAAATTCCTGATTATATTCTATAATGTGCAATAAATTTTTCTAATATAATACGTAACAAAACAGAAATATTTGTTATGATCTGTATGACAAAAAAAAAAAGAAGAAAATAATGTTACTTGATAATAATAAAACATAATTTCAAATGAACCTAAAATAAATCAAGTATGATCTTTGTAATACTATTCTTTCTATTGAAATAATTATTCAAAATTTTTAAAAAAAAATTACTAATACTTTGAATATTCAAATCACACTCTAATTTTTTTTTTGTGTGTAAGAAACTGTCATTACCTACAATATCATAACAAACAAAAAAAAAAAAAGCTTATAGAAATTGTTTATAAAAATAATGTCTTTAGGCATGCATTAAAATCCTTTGTATGAATAACTATGATTTAATTGAATTTGAACCTTCGGGTTCGATGTATAATTAAAAATATTTTTAGTTATTCTTACCCTTGATCAATTTGAAGTCGAGTTTTAATAAACCATAATGGATTAGTACATGTAGACATAGCAATACCTTGAATATATATATAAATATAAATTATTAATTTCTATAATGATATGATCTTATATTTAAGAATTACCTGCAGCTGCTGCTGAAGTTACATGTACTAGAGGTGTTTCTCGTTCGAGTTTTTTAACTAAAAATGATTTTGTATTTCCATAAGCAAAAAAATAAATTGCTCTAAAATATTCATTTTAATATAAAAAGAAAAATATATATATAACATTTATTTATACCGTGCTGGTGCAACACCAATCAAATTTGGTATAAGACCTTTAAAAAGTCCCGGAATGCCTTCATGCTTAATTATATGTCTAAATTTTAAATTTCAAAATACAAACAACCAAAAAATTCAAACGAATACCTAAGTGAATCCATAATACTTGGACTTCGAGCTCCTGAGAATTTATAAAAAGCCATCGTATTACTCATTGATGACTTTAAATTTAAATGATCTCGTCCTTGAGCAAATGCATTCTTCGATGATTGATATCGAGTTTTGATTACTTCTAATGGACATGTTAATACTGCACCAAATGTACCAGCAATACTAGATAATAAAAGTAAAATGATATATATTGAAATCAATTTTTTTTGTTCAATATTTCTAACCCTCCAGCAAGTAAATGAGCGTAAGAAGAAGAACGACTCGAATTTATTTGTGGTTGTTCTTCATTATTTTGACCTGTATTCGTAGACATGAAAAATCATAGAAATTATTTTTGTTTGAATTAATAAATAAATCTAAACATATCTAAAACATGGTTTTTTTTTTCTTGAGAAGCAATATAATCGACTAGTTTTATATTCAGAGAGAAAAAACAAAAAAAAAATTTTTTTTTTTTAAAAAAGAAATTTTTTTTTTAAAAAAGAAATTGTTGTTCTTTTTGTATTATATTTGTTATAATTATTGAAAGTATATAAAGAAAACCAAATAAAAAATTTAATAGAGCTGTTCGATTTGGTAATTTTATTAACTGATCATATTTAAATTCTTCACATAAACGATACGCATAAATTATTGTTAATAATGGTAAAAAACAATACCATGATATATTTATCATTATATATATTATAATTATATAAGGTGAATAAATAAGTATACAATAAAGATAATATGAATATTGTTTGCCAAGTAATATTGATAATGTTAATATACCAACAGATTTATCATGTTTCATATCACGTGTATTATTACTATGTAGAATAGCTTCAGTATTTAATGTTAATGGTAATGCATAAAATATTGGATAAATACTATAATGACCTGCTTGTGCCATATATGAATACACAACTGTTATAGGACCAAATGTTAATAAAATAATTATATCACCAAGAGCAATATATTTAAAGCCTAAACAAAGATAATTTTCTCTTTGTGAAATATTTCTTTATATACTTTAATATTTTTTTTTAGATCATGTTTCATAAAAAAACAAATTTAACATAGAAAGTTTGTTAGCATGATTCCTTTGGAAATGATATATGAAACTCTTTATTCTCATTCAACTAATACAATATATGTCAAGTGGAAAATCGCTCGTAGTTTTACAAGATCATCAATCATCGGAGTAAGAATCTACTTTTTTTCTTTGTACGAGTTTGCTGTATTATTATAAGCTTTGAATTAAATGACAAATAATGCTATTGTAAATAGCTATTATATCTATAACATCACCCTATTATATATCTCAATTAACTCACATACATTAATATTAATTCTTTTCCATAGTTATAATTTAATCATTCAATGAATTTTTTTCGTTGCTAAGGAACTAGTCTAATGTCGATTGTCCTGAATTATTAAAGTCTGCAATGAGAAAAAATTTGCTACGATCTGAAAATTATATGTGAGTTTGACAAAAAAAAGGTTAAACTATTTTGTCGTAATAATTATTGATTGTATAGATGAATTTGAACTTTTATTGAAAAAATTTATGTCAATAAATTAACAAAAAATAACAGAGAGAAAACCCTTCAAGATAGTTATCAAGATTTTTTTTTTATTCTGGTCGAATTATAATTTGAATCATTGGTTATTTCAAGCGTAAACTAACTCGTTCTTTTACTCTCAGTGAATAATCTATGAATGAATTCATTGCCGAAGAACTTCTTCTCTTTCAAGAGAACCAAGAAAAAAAAAATGATTCAGATATGTGAATAATTTTCAACTACTAAACAATTAAATCGATGATTCTATTTATATTAATATGAAAACTTACTAATGAGGAAATCCATCAAAACTAATATCTGCTGTTTGAGCTCACAAGGACATTCACCTAAAAAGACACATACTCATGCATTTCTGAAAGCGAGTTAGACTTGAAGTTTCGTCCATATAGTTAAATAAAATATACTTTTTGAACCAAATGAGAATCGAACGTTAAATAGTTATATATGTATAACGATTGAGAAATAATTCTTCTTCATGTAACACAGATCCGTTGAATATCTTAAAAGTCTCAGCCAAAAGTAAACAAACAAACAATGTTCTTTTGTCGTGATATAGGATTTCCAAAAATGTATTCGTTTCTCATAAACATGATGTAAAGATTGAAGTTTATTTAAAAATAAAGGAACATTTTGTTTTCAAATGAAACTTTCAAGATATTCTATGAATCTACAAGCAAAATTTCAGATCGAAATTCTGCATTTTTGATTTTTCGGTATAAATTAAAAGTCCAGTAAAATGACCATAACCCGACTTCAAAACATCCTTGTGGGCACAATATACGGATAGTTCCCATGTAAATGATTATAGTTAAAATCTTTCACTGAAATATCTTTTAATATTTCAAAAACTTTCGATTGTTTGATCAAACAATATCTTCATCTGTCCAACGATACATTTCAATCACGATGATCTATATTAGATCTTCTTCATATGCTGAATTTTAAACATTGATCGATATTTCTCAAGAATTTTCTAACCACTAATATTTAAATTCATGGGAATAGAGTAGAGACATGTAGGATTTTCTTACCTTGCAGGTTAAATTAGTTAGAATGATGGTATGAAAAATTCTCTTCAATAGGTTAAATATTTTTGTACTCGGATCCGATTTATTCAACGTATTACAGACCTGAATCCGTACTTCTAATTTCAAAAAAATTTTTTATTTTAGTCTATCTGAATCCTACATATTTCTCATACAATAATCAAACTGTGACTTTTTGGATCGATCCCGCAACCAATCCGAGGGATTTTATGAAGAGTATAGAGTACGAACAACAAAAAAAAGCTTATCCTACATTTCTTTAAAATATAGATACAACAAAATCTTAAAGAAATATTCGATTTATTAAGTAAAAATTTGAGTTTGAACTATTAAAATTTGTTTTTTTTGAAAAACAAAAATCTTTTTTCTTGTACTTATATTAAAAAATCAAACAAATAATTACCAATGCCTCCTGTATAAAGAAATGAAAGTGGTAAAGCTCCAAAAAATATTATAGCCAAATAAGGTTCTTTAGCTGATGAAAAATTTGTTAAAAAAAGAAAAGCAATTGTACCAATTGTATATAATATTAAACCAAGTCGAACAACATCATTTGGTTTAAGTAAACCTTCAATTAATGTTCGATCATCAATACTATCAACATCATTGATTTTCTCTTTATTATTATTATTATTATGATTTAATGGAGCATCAACACCATGTATATAATCATAATATCTTGAAAATTTGATAAAAAAAAACAAGCTGATTTTCAAAATAATCACTTTATTACATACGTATTGAATAAATTAGCAGCAGCATGAACACATAAAGCCGATAGAGAAGTAAGAAGAAGAACAATAATCGATATAGCACGTAATGATGGATAAGCAAGAGCATTACCTAATAAAACAGGCATCATACTCGTACTAAACGACCATGGTCGTACGGCTATTAAATATTTTTCTAATGTATGCATGTTTTTAAACTAGAAAATAAAGTCAAATATATATATAAATATCTATTTTTAATAATACATTATTCATTGAATGTTAGAATATAACATCAAAATTTCTTTTTTTTTTAGGTTGTAAAAAAAGCGTGTTTCGTCCTTTGATTTCATCATCTAGTAACCAAATAGTATATATATGAATGGATAAAATAGGATCGAATGAAATGTTTCTTTTACTCTATTTGTTAGAATTAATAACGAATCATATTAGAAATGTAATAAGTTTAGTTAGATTCAAACTTTTTTTGACGATTATCAAATTATGAAAAGAAGATTTTTATCTCAGATTTTAAATGAATCAGTCAAACAAATAATTTGTTAGGTGGCGCCAGCACTTGTACATCATTTCTTGTTTTCTATTATTATTGTGTAACGTCATCATATGTATAAAAAAAAGACAGTACGAATTGTATACCATTAAAATATTGAATGCAGAAATACAGATTCTTCTTCAAATCAACGATTATGGATGTCGTTGATCTGTAAAAATATTGAAAAATCTTTGAATCACTACAGAAATTATATGAGATTTCTATTTGATTATTACGAGTTCTTGTGTTAAACATGATATGACGAGAAAAATTGAAGACATCTCCTTCATTTGCTGGCAAGACTGCAACAAACATGCCGATGTTCTTTGAGTCTATTGACATTATGTTTAATATTTGAATCTCGGAAAGATTGTGCTGAAAGCTTTTTCTTTATTATTTATCTTCATAAGTTTTCTCTCTCTCTTAGCATCTATCAATAGACTACAAAGTTTTGTACATTAATTAAATGCTCGTCAGACCTAGATGTAACGATACTTTGTTATCTCTGATGTATCAACGAGAGATATGATATAAATAAGTACAGAACAAGTATCGGTATAACTGAGAAGATAATTGACTGGGATAAAACATCAAACTATTGTTGGTTCATTGTCGAGGGTAAACTAAGCGAATTGCTTCGCTTTTTTTTTGTCTTTGAACATAATCGGTATATAATAACATAAGGTGAAGACTAATTTTTGATGTGTAAAAAACAGGATATTCCTATTTTTCTTCTATTCTTTTTATAATTATATGTGAATGTTTCATCTGAATAAAGAATAAATTTATAAGAATACTTCGATTAATAATAAAAGGCTTCGCATTACTATTTTTAGCAATGTTGTATTCATTGTGAACAGAAGAAATTAATAGTATATATTGTAAATCTAATATAACATATGAAGTTTAAATGCATATTATGACCGATATAAATGAAAAACCTATAAATTTATGATTCAAATATGAATGTATATTGTAGAAAAAAATTTCGGTAGAATTTTTATTCCTTAAGCTTTATTCTTTATTCAAGGCTTATGCGGTACATTTCATACTTTCTTACTATATGTAATATTTTTAAAAACATATTAATAAAATCACAAAAAAAGAGGTAGTTAAATCAATTGTCTCTATCCTCCTCTCTCAACTACATATAATAAAAAATAAATGAAATCAATACATTTGTCTTATATTTTTAATTAATTCCATATATCCGATGTTGCATCTCCACCAGGATAACGCATTTCATGAGCACGTGAAGGTCCATTTGGTTCATTCTTAAATGAAATATAAAAATTTTGATCAAGTTTCATTCCACCATTTTCACTATCACAATCAATTTTAACTAAATATGATCCATCATTTTTCATTTTAGGATAAAATTGATCATCCCATGATGAATAAAGAGAATTAGTTACATATAAACGTTTACCATCAAGTGATAATTGAATCATTTGTGCTCCACCAGTAAGTGAACGTTTATCATTAAAATCATTATCAGTTTTAATTAAACCACCAAGCCAAATTTGTCCAGTTAATTTTGGTTTTGATGGATTGGTAATATCATATTGACGAATATCACCATGAAGCCAATTACAAAAATACACTAAATAAAAAAAAAAACAAATGAATATGATCTATATTTGAATATAAAATTTCTGAAAAATACATACTAAATTTATCATTAAGTGAAATAAGCATATCAGAAATAATAGCTGGTACTGGTTGACCATCATTACCAGTTAATGATTCAACTTGTATAACTTTTTCAACTTGCCATTCATTTGAATCATCTGGAAAATATCGAAATACGGAACTACCTAATGCACATACAACATAACCATATGGTGTTGTTGGATTATGACAAAAACGTAATTCAAGTGGAATTGAACCATCTTCACCAAGATCAATTGTTTTTAAATATTTACGTTTTGACCAATCCCAAAAATGTAATGAATGACCATATTTATTTAAAGCAACATCATTTGGATTAAAACCTAAATGAAAATAAACATTTTGTAAATAAAAACATATACACACACACACAAATATACCTTTGTCAAAAATATTTGGAGCTGCCCATTCACTGCTAACCATGATATTAAATCTTGGTTTATACCAAAAATCATAATAAAATTGAACTGATGATGGACTATTTCCATCATTCCATCGACCGATAACTTCAAAATTTTGATTAAGTAACATAAAACCACCTGGTTGTTCACCTTTTGCATTTCCCAAACATGAAATCATTATTTCACCACTACCTTTTTTTTTAAGAAAGATAAATAATCATTTCGAATAAATTTGACTTTATTTTAAAATTTTCTTATTTACCTAAACAATGAACTGTATGTGGAGCAGTTAAATCTAATTTTTTTAATTCATCACTTTCTATTGTTTTATATAAACTAGGTTTTTTTTCGTCAGATGTATCAACAATATAGATTCTTGATGATTTAAAACCACCTAATACAAGAAATCGTCGTTGCTTATTACAATCATCATGACATGATGAACAAACATTCCAACCAAAATGATGTAATTCATCATTTATATTTGGAACATATAATCGATTAATAACTTGTTGATAATTATTAGAAGTTGGATCAACATCAATAGTTGCTAAATAATTAGGTTGATCCTCTTGACATGGAATCATTGCAACATATAAGATTTTTTCACGTGGACCATTTTTCATAGCTTCAAGTGGACTAGTATAACCTGGTCCTTTTGTACAGCATGATGATGACATAGTAAATCTAGAGCAACAATAAAAATAAAACACATCATAGCAGTATATTTCTAATGGAAATTCAAATTACAAAAATCTTTTTTTTATACTTTCTTTATACTAATTAAACGTATGTGTAAGCTTTCTCTTCATAAATAGAGTATATCAAAATATACAATGATGAAGTGTTATAAGTAGAAGAAAACAAAAATCGTCTTTTTTTATTGGACAAAACCTACGTATCAAGAATGACAAACGACAAAAAAAAATATCTTTTCTTCGTTATCTAATACAATCAAAGAGAGATGAGAGAATAAAAGAAACAAAAAAAAAACGAATAAATTAAATTTACTATTGTTTCGTTAACAAAAAAAAAGTACATATAATCATTTTGAAAATAAAAAAGGTTATTTTATTCAGCAAAATGTAGAACATCATATATATCGAAAGTAACAGATATTCTGTAACTTTTACTTCTACTTGATAGTAATCTTGACATGTACAAAAACGACATGCATATAAATAGAATCATTTTCTTTTAGTAAATAAATTAAAATTTACATTCGTAAGAATGAAAATTCTAGATTAATTTATCAACACGATTATTATTAGGTTACTCATCAAAGATCAGCGCGTAAGAATATATAGGACAGAAGAAGCAGAGAATAACCGACTTAGTATAATAAAACTGTACTTTAAAATTTCCTTTTTTCTTCTTCATCAATTTTTTTTTTTATGTTTGTCGATAATTTTCTTGTTCTTTTTATATTGTATTTCTATTCTGTTAACTCAACTAATTGAGAACAATCAAATGAATGAAAAACAAAAATGATTCGGTTACTATATTGTATTTTTCTTCAAATGATTGAGTTTATGTATGTAGGAAAACAAAAAACAAACGTTTTTTGCACATCGAAATAATGCTCGAGGAAAGAAAATAAGAACCAGTATGTTTATGACGAAGTTTTGCGACTTTAACAAACGAAAAAAAAAAAAGAATAAGAAAATGATAAGGTAGTTAGAGTATTTTACCAATCATCTTCTAATTCACAAGGTCATATTTATCGTTCTTACATTCACCTTTGGCTCACCGGTGTTTGTTTTTTTATGAAAGAATATGTCATAAGTGTCTACACGATGATATATTGTCAGATAGATTAAAACACATTAATTTCTTATGATTATTAACAGATGACACATTTTCATCAGTGACATCTATATAAAATCTTAATGCAATAAATAAATCCAAAATATTTCATCATGATACAGTCGAAAATTAATAAAGAAAAAGAGATATAATCATTATTTACTTATTAGATGCATCGATATATTCTTGTCATTCTATCAAAAAGTCATTTCAGTGAAAATTTCCGATAGTAGCATAAACAAAATATTTTCAATCTAGAACACATGTTTATAGAATCTTATCCCAAACATGAAGTTTTTCATCCGATTGCAAATTAAATTTAGAATTTTTTTTTTGATAACTAAATTATAACATAGAACTTATTGCTTCGAAACCATGAATCAAGTGCATAATTGAAACAGAATCTGCTTGTCAAATGTGAATCATCTCTTCGATCTGACAGCATACTATGACAATATTAGCGTCATTCTTATAGTCGATTTAGCAAAGGTTCGATCAACTATTTCATTTGATCAAATTTTCTTGATCGAAGAATATGATTTGTACGCTACCTGTTTACAATGCAATGCAATACGTTAACAGGTCTGTATTTCCCCACAAAGACAGTCAATGATACAGTCATATGTGTGATAGAATACAGTGATGTTTATGGTCAGTAATACTCGTTAACAATGAACCGAATTTCAGTCCATGGTTTATCCTCTTTTGCTGTAATATAAAAAAGGATTTTTAATAAACTCCTATTGAACATTTGCCAATACTCGGTTGTTCAAATGTGACAATTTAAGAGTTCAGTTTGATAAAACAAAGAGCTCTAACGAAATTTGGAATATGCCATAAGATTCTCCACCGATGACATACAAGCTTACAAAAATTGATGAATGTTCAGCGAAAATATTGAAGATCATCGTTAATCTTTTCGATAATAAGAAAAAACCTATCAGGAAAAACAAAGTCGAAAGTTTTACAAGATGCAGAAGGATCTACCTGTTGAGCACAGTAATAAAACCTCTGAAGTATGCTTCTAATTTCCAAAAAAAAAAGAAAATAAAGGTACGTCAATCTTTATAAGCCGTCCATTATAATGATGAAATGATATTCGTTCTTCTTAAGACTAATTCAGAATATTGAAATAGGGATCAATTATTGAGAAATTATGTATTTTCATTTGTAACTTGTCTTTATATATTTTTCCAAAATTGGAACTCAAAACTGTAATGTATTTTAGAAGATCACAATGATTTATAGATGTTTTATGATTAAGATTTTAGTAAACGACTCTAGTGTATCATCTCTGGACACACATCTATCAATATCAGTGCTGAAAACGGAACGTTAACTCAGAACGAAGTTTCAACTTGACAAAAATTTTTACGCGAGACGAGACGAAAAGTGAAAAATACTCCCCATATCGGTCTCTGAAGATGAATAAGATTGTATCATTGGATACTTATGTACATAACATAGTTAATACTTCTATAGCTGATGGAAGTATAACAATTTTCGATGCTAATTCAATATTTATATTTAACATAAAGAGCATCCAATAAGATCTGAACCTGAAACAAAATTAGTTTATATATGAACAAAGACTGATCTCTGCCCAATTATATGTATATGAACTTCTAGTACTTAGGATGATGTTTTAGATTACATCTTATTCAATAACATAATCTCTTTTAATAATAGAAGAAACATGATAATTAAGATCTCAAATTCAATCAGTATTATTGGCAACGATCAAAAATAAAATATATTTTATTTAACAACGAAAAAAATATTTGATGTAATTATCACGTATACTCTGAAAAAAAAGGTATCCCCGAAAACCGACCGAAAAAGGTTTCTGAGAGCCAAAAAATGGGTTTTCGAGGTTCGAAAACTCTTTAAAAAGTTTCCGAGGGCTCGGAAACCTTTTCGGTCAGTTTCCGGAAATGCCTTTTTTTTTTAGAGTGTACTTGTTTTCCATTACTAATTAGCACTTGGCCAAGTCTATGAGAAATTTTATTAATCCTTTTTTATTTTCAATTATCACAAGTCATTTTTTAGTTGTTAGAAATTTGATAATTCTTTTCCTCGCACTTTTTCTTTTAATATATCTCATTCACTTTCAGTGAAATGCAGCTTTGCAAATTTTGTATCTTCATCTTCAGATGAAACTCTTACAGTAAATAATTCATCAATAGTGCACATCTTTTTAATTTCTTTATAGTCCGATTTCTTTCATAAATTTAGCATATAAGTTAAATGATGACGCGAATAGTTACTCTTAATATTTGCCAGAGAATCGATCTAAATATACTATGTTACATAGACCAAGATAAATTTAAAAAAAAAAAGAGCGAGTTGAACATATACCAGTTAATATTGATTGACGTTTTCTACTTGATTCAAATATTTTACTGTTTTGTTCTAATTCGCGAGATAGTATTTAAAAAAAAATAATTGAACAACTTCATTTAATTGTGATGTAGTTTTTAATTGATTTTTTTTTTGTTTTGAAACTTTTTCTCTTGATCTTCTTTATAAACTATTGCTTCTTCAATATTTGTTGATAAATCTTTTGAAAAGAGTTTCTAATGCCTATTTTTATACTTGAATTTTATTATCTAATCAAATTAATTTTTGATCTTGTTTAATATCTTTATATCATTTTGTGTAATCGTTTTACTCTTCTAAGTATTATTATATGATTATCTATGTAATAGTATCATATTAAAATAATTAAAAATTAATTCAAGAAATTTACTATAAAACTTGTTTGAAAATCATTTAACTAGGTTTCTCAATGAAAAAATATTCATTTCATTCTAAATCGAAAATTTCTTCATTATTTTTCGAATTATAATTACAAAAAAATTTGCATTTATCGAATTGTCTCAATAAATAACGTAGAAAATATCTCTTAAATAAATAAATACTTGAAAATCATACTCAAATAAATATTATACGATCATTCCTTTTCTGGAAAAGAGTAAGTTTTCTATTCGACTAAAATATCTAATTGGAAAAGTGACATTTCTTTTTTTTCATTTTCCTAGTCTTTAGATATATCAGTAAATCGAAAAAATATATTTCTCATTTGATTTGCATATTACATCACTTATCACTAACGTTCAGTGTTTAAACTGAGATTAGATAAAAACCTAGAATTAATTTCATTTCAAGTTTTTCTTTTTCTCTTGATGGCTTCGAACGAAATGATAAAATATTCTTATATAAGAACTAATTCATTCGTCAAACTTTGATTAAACTAGTTTTATTGATCAATGATTGGATAGCTATGGTTTTTTCTTTACCCTACATCCAAAAAACGAACGTATACCCATTGAAAAAAAATTTTTGTCAAGAAATCAGATAAAAATCGATCGTGTTTAGTCATAATCACAGATTTTTCTGATTTTTTTCAAATCAATTTAAATTGATTAACCCTTGGACGCTGTTTGGAGGTCCAACCGGACCCACAACGATGATTTTTGTCTTTGGCTACGTTAATACTTATCGTTTGCGGATCGATCTCTTCTCTAATCGTTATTCTTCTAACAATGCACGAAGATCATATGAAGTTTCTTTGATACCTCTTATAGGGAAAACATTAAGAGGTGGGTCCACACGGACCCCCTAACACCTTTTGTGTTATACATGTGATTTTTTTCTTGTTCAACCTGCCCTCTGTTATCCCAAAGGCTTATCTCTCAAGAGATTCGTTAACTTGTCACGACCAATAGTGATTCGTCTATTATTTGATATTTATCTACTAGATTTGTTATAAGTACATCGAACTACTTTTGTGAAACACGATCTGAAAAGAGTATTGAATTCTATAGGGTAAAAATTTTGGACCCCCTTCCCCCGCTCTCCCCTCCCAACAGGCTGTGACAGAGAATCCTCGGAGACCATCACAGGCCGTGACAGAGAACCCGAAGATCATCACAGACCATGATAGAGAATCTCCGTACTCATCACAGACCGTGACAGGGAACCTCTGGACCCATGAGAGACCCTGATAGGGAACCTCCGAGCCCATCACAGACCGTGACAGAGAACCCCAGAGACCATCACAGATCATGACAGATAACTCGCAGAGAACATCACAGATCGTGACAGAGAAACTGTAGTTTTGAGGCACCAAATAAACGGTAAGCTAAAAATCTGTCGTCAAGAAATGGAACAAAACGATGTCCATTTAATTAGTAACATTAGTCCATCGTGTTTCACATTCTTGATCCTGCAAGGGATCATGTTAACATATTTTTCCAGATAAAAAGAATGACTACTAATCCAAATTTTTAAAAAAGTCGCGAATTTTCTATGTAATTGCATGTGGGTCCATTCAGACCCACATACGTCCTTCGTGTGAAAAAGTGACAACAGCACCCAAGGGTTAAAAGTTATTGATCGTTTTTAATAGATTAATTATTTTTCTTTATAGATTAAAATCGATTTTCATCTCATTTCTTGTCAAACTTTTTCACATGGGTACTATTCGAAATTTCCTAAATGCTATAATATCTATGGTATAATTCCACGAAAAAATAGGCAAAAGAAGTGATTATTTTATATGAAAGCTTTTATTTGTTAACAAAAAAATTAAAGAATAAGCAGCAATTTATGTGGCTACTACAGAATATCATAACGGTAGTTGCTCACATTTGGTTTATTAACGAATATTAAAAATTGAACACTTGATTGAAACGATATGAACATTAATTATCATTGCAGATGTACTCTATAAAGCACAAAATAATAACAAAAAAGCTGAACAATTAATAGTCGACTATGTTTTGAAATAGTATATATTAATATATTTTCTTGTGAAAATCTTTCTAATATTAGTGAGAATCTTCTTGAACATGTGATTATTTAGATTTACAAGAGTTATTAGTAGTAGAATCGTTTTGTACTGAACTTAATTTATTTCAATAAGTTAAAACATATATATGAAGTGTTAATAAGACTATTTAGATAAAAAGAATGAAGAAAAATAAGGAATAAATGTTCGTAGTAATGTCATAATCATTATATATTTAGCATCTACCAAAATCTTGAACCCAATAGCCGCCATCAGGACCACCTTCCGCATATCCAATGCCAATTGCCTTAGAGTTTTTGTTCATAATATTGACACAGTGTCCAGGGCTTTCGATGAATGCATCGACTGTCGCCTGAGGAGTTTCATTGCTAGCAATATTTTCGGCAGCGGCACAATTCCTCGGATAGCCTGCAGCTTCTTCGCGATCCACAAAATTACTTCCATCTATATCTGTATGAGAAAAATAGTCATTATCAATCATGTTCTCAGCGTGTCCCCGTGCGGCATCGCCTAATTCATCATTCCATTTAAGTTCTGTTGTAGCAGGATACCAAGTCGAACCACAGTAGCGACCTTGTTGACGTGCTTTATTCGTTAGCTCGAATACCTCTTTTTCATAATCGTTGTTGGGACCTCTACGTTTGAAATTATGGACAAAATTAAGATCATCATTAACTTCGTTGTTGTTTCTAATTGATTTTAGTTTTTGCCTAAAGTTGCGCCATGACTCATCTATTGCTTCAGCTCTGCCTAATGCTGTACGGAGTCGAAAATGTTGATCTTGTGCTGGCCATGAATGGGTTAATTGTCCAAAAGCCAAACAAATAACAGTCAAAAATATCCACCCATTCATGGTATAAACTTCACAAAACTTGACATAATAAAATAAAATATTCTCACATCTTTCTTCTACATTTTATATACATAGTGTACATTGACAATAGTAATGAAAATAGAATCAATATTTATATGACAACTATCCTGCTATTCGATCAATTTCATAAGTCAATGAGTAATACATTAAAAAAAATCCGAGAGAAACTATTCATAGAATGTTTGATTTTCGATACTTCGATCCCTTTAATTATCCCATTCATTTATGAACTATCCTCTCAACAGAGTTGGCACCACAGATTATGTTTAATACCTTTAATAACAATTTCAGTTCAATCGAACATACTGTGCCGGAGAAGCGGAGGCGATTCTGCACGTTTTTTTTTGTGTAAAAGTCGTTTTCGAAAAAAACGAAAAAAAAATTTTCCTGTATATATTAGGACTTTTTGTCGCCAACTAAATTCATTTGAAAATTGGCCACGTTCAGTGGTGTTAGGGAATTCTTAATCCATGCTTTGAGCACCTTTGGAATGAGAAATAATCATCATCATCATCATCATCGGGAAAAGTTTCTATAGAATAGAATAATTGTAGCGCGAGTCTCCTGCTAAGACACTTCAGGACTATAGTAATGATGAAAAACCAAAAATCGACAGATTTTTATTTTTATATCCGGACTAGGGAAAGGATGGATCCCTTTCAGCTCGTATTTGTGCTGACAAAAATAAATTGTTGCTATTGTGTATCAAATGTACAGTGTCTATATATATGTTTTATTGAGGTCCAAGTATGATTTGAGTCTCCAACAGAAATATTACTTACTTAGGATTCAATTGTCTTGTATGTCTGGTTTTTCGTATGGTAATGATACAAATGATTGATGCTGTTTACATACATTTTTGCTCTTCATAATTTATATTTATTTATTTTCGCTTCGATAGTTTCGTTCGTTCTTTATACTTGTCAATCCTATGAATTATCAGGAGCGATAATATGCGTGACAGTTGTATTGATGCGTGAAATCCATAACAGTCATTCATAAAATGTTTTTTTTTTGCCAAATTTGCGCAGGAGCAAACGTGAGACAACATGAGTTTCTCACATTGTCGTTTTGCTATAAGAAAGTAAAATATGCATGGTATAGAATCATGCTATCTTTTATGTCAATAACCGAAGAATAAATGACGGTTAGTTTAATGAGTAAATTATAAGAAACCTAGATTTTGAATTTTTAGTATTTAATATTTTTTTCTTATTCATCGAGACAGATCTTAATGATTTTTATTTATCGTGAAATTGTCATCTAAATGTTCGATGTACTCTGGAGATAGCTTTGTAAATTGCAACTTGGAACAATGAAATTAAAATCTTCAAATATTTTCGAGTAGACTTAAAGTTGCATTTAAATAATATTAAAAATTACTTCTAAAAAGTTAAATTGCCTATTCAGGTAAAATTCTAACAAGATCATTTGAAAATAGAGCGTCAACAATTGAATAAAATCATGTATTCTAATGATACATTTCATGTGCTGCTTGACTTTTTAAAATCTGCTACAGACCGCGTTATCTTAGTCGTTTTTTATCCAAACAAAAAAAAAATCGAGATCCGATTATTGCAATACATTTGCGATCATGTCGAAATATCAGTGAATCTATGACCAATTTTTACTGCATGTCATGTTAATTATTCTCATCTAAACTAATCAAGACCAAACGCAAATCGTTTTTTTGTATAATTTATGATAATAAAAAATGTCTCTCTGCCAAGAAGCATGAAGATAATTATTATTTTAGCAAATCTAACAAAAAAAAAATCCATTCATATATTGTCTGTTTCTTTCTTGATATATCAGGTATATGTCATTAGACTCTATCTGATTCATATAATTATATATTAATTATATTTGTGATGAATATCTTTGAGACACGACCATCAGCTAAAAAAAAACATCACTCATAATATGGACAGTCATTAATGAGAAAAAATTAATTGCTTTCTAAGAAAAACGTTTAACTTGTGTGGAATTTTTCTCACACAGGTGCATAGTGAAAGTATTGCAAGATATTTTTGTTCTTCAACAACTTTGTGACAAGGTCAAGTCGATAAACAGTTCTTATAAAGCGATTTATCCTCAGACGGTGTATAATTATACACACTGCAGATTAAGCGGCATGACAAAAAAAAAAGACGAAATTGATATCATACAGAAAAATTTACATGCTCTATACAATGGTAGCATTATTGAACGAATATCGATATGCCTTTTAGAAAATTCAAATTTTTTTTGTTTGTATGTGATTAAACAGTGTATGAGACGAAGGATAAACACTTCTAGTCCTCTAGAGAAGGTATAGTTTTGGAGATAATATCTGACAAGTTGTCTGTTCAGGATATATTTCTTGTTCTGACTAGTAACAACAGATTGTCTGAGCTTCCTATAAATATTGTTGTAAAAATCTTCTTTCTTCAAGACTTTAAGAGATGATTTTGTTGAAGAGAAGTGTAATATAACCACGACTATCCATCAATAAAGTCATCTTCTATAATCCTGAAGAAATAAGATTTTTAACCTTCCAAACAAAATATGATGAATAAAATTTAAAAAAAATACTTTTATCTTACTCAACTGATATATTCACAATGTGCATTAAACTTTTCTAGAATATATTCTCACTATGACGTAGCGCAATTAAATTACATCATCATTCGAGTGAATAAAGTTCATCGTTAGTATTTCCAAATATAAAAACATTACTACTATCATAGTAGAAACGATCGGTAGTTTCGGTTGATGCAGTAAGTTTCTTCACTAATGAATAATAAAAGTGAAATATTATTTGCATTACTCAAAAAGATAAAATAAAACTGTATTCATTCTATCACGAGTTCGATAAAAATAGTCATTGTAGTACTAGCATAGATTACAGAATTTTATAACAGAATTCTAATGTTCGAATTTATTATCTTCAAATAAAATGTTTTTTTTTTGTTAACAATCTGTAATCTATACATCTGATCGATATTCTCTAATATTTCGCACGTCGGTCATTGTTCAATTTTCGAGCAGGAAAGTTTTATTATATTTCCTGCTCATAGAAAACATTGATTAGGAAAATAAATTTGCGACTTAATAATACAAATCTACAGTTTCATAAAACATATTTCAAGTTAGAAGAGTAATAATCAGAACTAACTCTCTAGAAATATTTTGATTACCTATAGACTAATTTCACAAATGTGAAATCTAGGAACTTTGTTAATTTAACTCCCTAACTGTTTTTTGTTCATTGCTAGTATGAAATATCTGCTTATTTTGAAAATATTCATCAAATGATTAATATAACGTTTTTGTTTCTTTATTCTAACTTTTCGTACATATGCTAATTAAGCTAATTTTTCTAGTTGATGATGTAATTTATTGATAGCAATTCGATGCCATCTAAAATATTCTTTTCTTCTAGCTATCACTCTTGGACTTTGTGGTTGTTCTTGCTGTCGATATACTGTCTTTTTTAACCGTTTCATTTCTTTCACTTTAAGATTATACTTACCTCACCCTCGAACTCTCTAGCTCTTGACTTATTCAACAAACCGCCGAGAGAGTACTGGTGTTTTTCGATAAGGGTAAAAGAGAAAAGCCAGGTTTTATAGAGAATCCGATTCCCTAAGAAGCTATTTTTTGGTCGGTATAAATGCTATTTATGGGCTTCATTAAATTCAATATTATGTCGAAACCTCTATACTAGAAATTTTGGGTTATTCGCTCGTGTTATGTTAAAGTTATAGAAGAGGCAAAAAAAGACCTGCAGTACTACATGTTTTCGATTTCGAGTCCAACCATAGTCTCAATTAAAACGTCTTTGTTGACCGAATCTCGCTCTGATCCTCATTGAAATCTTTTTTAGGCTCAATTTCAGTTCCAATCTTTTCGACGATGTCTCAAAATTTTTCAATAGATACTAGGGTATCTGGATGTGGGTATATTTTAAGTAGATGTGCATACCTACACCCTACAGAGAAACAGAACAGGCGACCATCAAGCCTATTTCAGCAGCGATATATATATATATACCCGTTGCCAATGCGACCAAATAATGCAAAAAAAGACGAAGAAAAGAAAGCAAGAACACAACAAATGTTGAGTCACAATAGATAACGCGATACCGACAAATAACATAGCTTTTATCACACATTTTTTTTCTCCCGCGACATGACAACAGTAAAATTTGGTGCACAAACTACCGCACTTGAAGTCGTCAAAGGACTTAGTGCCAACCTCGATGGTAAAGTTGTAATTGTTACCGGTGCAACATCAGGTAAAATAAATTGATAAAGATAGTTACTTCTAAACATTTTTTTTTTACTCTTTCAAGGTATTGGCGTTGAAACAAGTCGAGCATTAGCAGCCATCAATGCTCATGTGTTTATCACTGCAAGAGATATGAATAGAGGAGAAGAAGTTGTTGCAGATATTAAGAAAACAACAGGCAACAATAAAGTCGAAGTGTTAGAACTTGATCTTACTTCGCTACAATCTGTTCGAACTTTTGTTGATCAATTTAGAGCACGTAAACTACCAATTCATATTCTCATCTGTAAGTTTAAATTAGAACAACACAGTAATAAATATTTTTTATTCAAAGGTAATGCTGGTATAATGGCATGTCCATATTCAAAGACAAAAGATGGATTTGAATCACAATTTGGTGTTAATCATCTTGCTCATTTTCTTCTTGTTACTTCTCTTTTACCTGAACTCAAAGCAGGCAAACCAGCACGTGTTATCATGGTTAGTTCAGTACTCAACAAGACACAAGGTATTAATTTTGATGATATTAATTGGGAGAAAAACTATGACAAATGGTTGGCCTATGGTCAGAGTAAAACTGCTAATATCTTGTTCGCTCTGCAGTTAAATAAGTTATATAGATCAGAAGGAATTCAAGCGTTCGCTTTAAATCCAGGTGCTATTATGACAAACTTACAAAATGTTTTACCAATTGAAGAGCAACGAGCAATGGGATATTTTAAAGAAGATGGTACACTAGCGGATTTTTTTAAAACTGTTGAACAAGGAGCATCAACCAGTGTCTATGCTGCATTGGCACCTGAAGTTGATAGTTCTGATGGAGAGTATTTGGAAGATTGTGCCATTACTCGAGTAGTGAATGAAAACAAAATGGATTTTAGAGGCAGATCAGAACATTCAACGGATATGAAGGCAGCTGAACGGCTTTGGGCTTTAAGTGAAAACATGGTAGCAAACAAGTGAAAAAAGAAATATAAGATCAGCAGTTCGTACTGATGAAAACAGAACAAATATAAATCATATTAAATTAACTATAAAATTTTTGTTTTATCAATAAAGTAATCATCATTATAACGAGTATTCTTTTTCTAATAAATTTGATCATTTTATGTTTGTGTTACCACAGTAAATTTCCATGAACATGCGAGACTTTTAGCCACTTCTGGTGTGGGTGTGGTTTCTTTCTTTTGTTCGCTCACACCTACACCCGTGGAGCAAATTTTTGCTGGAATTGGACCTCTCTATAGTGGACACCATCCGATATTGGACACTTTGGAGAAATTTCAAACAGTGTCAACTAGAGAGTTTTCCTGTTATTTTAACAATTATCGAATTTTCTGTTTTTCAAGAACAAAAGTGTTATTTCTTCAAGATTCGTTTTGAATAGTTGAATTGTTTGATTGATTGTATGTTAATGTGCTTGTTGAGATTCATAAATATGTGATTTTCTCATTTATGACTTAGATCGAGACATAATGAGTATGTCCTATTAAGTTTATTTCCTACGAATTTATTTGAACAATACTTCGAATTGAATGTAGGTCCGAGTGAACAAAATATCTACACACACTCCAATTGAAACTCGTCTTGAGTAGTGACCGGCGTGACTGCCGTGACTACCAGTGAGTCACGGTCACGGTCACGGTCACGGCCGTGACCGTCCGTAACTTTTTTTAAAGATCGTGACCGTGACCGTGACTGGAGCTTGGTCACGGTCAGTCACGGGAACTTTCTCGAAATTTTGGAAATCCCTGAGGGGGAGTAAGGGGACCTTCGCGAAGCTACCGTCTCCCACCCTCTCATCAGTTTTTATGAATAATTTGGAAGTTTCTAGTATTCGTGATTTTGGAAACTCCTGAGGGGAAGCACGGACACCTACGCGAAGCTACCCTCCTGCGATCATCACTTTTGATAGCAAACAGAACCCTAGTCTCAATCCTGTTCATTCCTTTAGAAATTTTGCAAGAATCTGTCAGGATTCTAAATCTCCAAGATCTTATCAAGTTTTCCTCAGGATCCCGGCTCAATTCCTGATAATTCCTGCTGCCGGGATTTCTCACAGTTATACAGGATCCTGTTTAGGATTTCTTTCCGTATCTGACCAGATGTGTTTGTAGATAATGAATACAAGATCCTTCAAGGATTCATTCATGATCCTACTTAGGATCCTAACAGGGATAATGGAGAGGATTCTCTAAAGATTTTATCAAATTTTAGACAAGATCTGATGGGGATCTTGATACAAGGATCCAGTCAACTTTTGCAGCTAAAACTGAGGAGCGTCGCAACAAAAAGTCAACAAGAGAGCATATCAGTGACTGTTCTTGTCAGTTAATACAAGTAGAACTTCTGTTCATACCCACAACCACATCTTGTTTTCTAAATTATTCCAGGTTAAACAACAATGGTAACCTGGTCAGGGTCCTGATGTAATCCTTTTCGAATCCTGGTGGGATCTTGAAATTCCGTGGCTACACACTTCTTTCAGGATTTCATCGTTTCCTCAGGAAAAAAGAGTGAATTCTGGAAAGATGCTGGCTGAATCCATAAAGAACCTGGTACGGAAACATCAAAGATTTTCCCTAGGGAAGCTTTGCAATTGCTCTTTCTGGAAAGGTTTTTTTCATGTTGAGAAACCAGAAAGAAGGGCCGTGACTCACGGTCACGGTCACGGTGAGCCCAGCCCGTGACCGTGACCGTGATCAACCCCTCGTGACCGTGACGTGACCGTGACCAAAAAAGTTGGTCACGCCGGACACTAGTCTTGAGATGGTTTTTCATCAGATGTTATCCGAAATACGGAAAAATTGTTGGCTGTTAATATTATAATCAATATTTAATCGATTTGATACTTTTTAATGTATTCTTATTTATAATGGAATGCTCCTAGTTATCTTTTTGTTTTTTGATTTGACAATAATCTATTTTAATTAATTGATTTCTATCTGGAAGAGGAATTATTTTTCATCAGAGATATGTAGTAGATCAGACTGAACCAACCGGTACCAGTTCAATCTCTATCATATCTTTCCATCAAAATTGCTCTTCCGTCTAAACCAACTATAAAGGTGGCACGTTCTCCGAACGATTTGAATATCACAATCGAATTTTCAAAACTACATGGGACAAAGATCATTAGACAATTTTGTAATATATTTATTAAAATAAAAATATCATACTTTTTAAGAATACAAATGATATTAAAAAAAAGAAAAATTTATGTTAAATTAAAAAATTGTTGAAGAATAGTTGTATTGATTTTTAAATTATTTGTCCATTGATCATTTTTTAAAATATTTTTTGTTACATAAGCACTTACTGTTAACGTTTCTAATATTGGACAATTATCTTCTGTATTAATTAATAATGATGATGATTTTAAATAAGGTGAATCAGTTTCAAATACAAATCTTTGTTGATTTTCATTATTTTCGGATTCATTCATTGATAAATCTATTGAAAATTTTTTCAAAATATCAAATAATTGTTGATCTAATTGACGACAATGAATAATAAGTGGTAAATGAAATTCATTAGCTAATTTAATTTGTAATATAAATATTTCAGTTTGTAATGATAATTGTTCATTATTAAGTAAATCAAGACTACATTCACCAATAGCCTATCATTGAACGTTTTTGTATAAGATCACGAAGATTAAGTAAATCATTATATGGATCATTATCCAAATAACGTGGATGAATACCATATGATTCATAAAGTTGAATCTTTAAAAAAAAATTATAATAACTTGGGAAGGACAAAGCATGGAGATGAACTCTTATAGACTTCTTATCAGGATCTACTTATAGAAAAAATATCAGTTCTCTTGAAAAATCACATTTGAAGATCTTAGATCACGTCTTACAACCAGAATTATTAACATAATCAAACGAAGACTTTAAGCCTTTCTGCAACTTTTTTTTTTCTGGATTACATTAATAATCAAAATATTAAGATTTTATATATTTGTAACATACTTTTGATTTTAATGATTCAGGTACAATTGATAGAGTATTGTTCCACATAGAAGATTTATGAACATTGGTAATACCAATAAACTGCTCGATATTTTTCAATGGTTCAATAGCATATGACCAATTTTCTTTAAGTAATCGATCATGAAAATGACCATCAGTAAGTTGAATAGGTTCTGTAAGATGTAATTGATCACAATTCATATTTTCACATGTTCCATTAAATAAACTATCATCACATACACCTTTAATAATCGATGAAGCTGTTGTCAATGCTGAAGCTGTTGATCTTTACAATAAAAATAAATACTTAATTGATGGTCAATAGATATTTAAAAAATTGATTTTCTCACAAAATATGTCAGGTGAGAAATTTAATATATATTACTTGATTTTAGTATCAGTTTCTTGTGCTAGTACTGTTGTTTCACTGTTATGCACCAATTGACGAGATTTCTTTTCCTTTTTACTCATCTGTAAATATAAAATCTTTTACTTTAGATTATTTTCTAATCAATATAATCAGAACATTATTACCGTGATTAAAAGGTTATTGCAATAGAAACATTATAAAATGTTACGTTGAGCTTTCGCTTAATTTATACAAACTATCTTGTATCATAATATGACAGTATTAAGCAATTTATTTTTTTCTCTTGTGCTGTATGACTCATAAAATGATACTTATGAAAAATGTAAAGACAATATAAATTATGATAAGTAATCATCAAGATGGATATAACATCATCACATAATATTTCAAAATAACCATTCAAATTCTTATCGTTTTTCTTAAAGTATTGATATTCAAATAAAAAAGTTTATAATCTTTCTAACTATGAATCAGTTTTCATTGCCCGAAAGGTAAAATCTCGAAAAGTAAGAAGTTTGTCGAAGAAAGATAAAAATATAGATATGAAAAGGATATGTATACATTATCAGCTATGATGTGGTGTTTTACCGCTTCAGCTAGAGAGTAAAATTAACACAAAAGAAAACTGACAACTAACATGATCATAAGAAAAAATTCGGGAGTATTTTGAAAATCGCGTCTTCCTCTTCATATCCTTTTGAGAAGTAATGGTAAACTTTGCAGATTTCCTTACGAATCAACTTCCCCATTTTGAGATCTTGACGATTAGGGTATAGGTGTCGGTATCGAGCATGATTACTGGATGTGAGTAAACTAACAGCTTACATCCAAGCCTACTATCATCAAGACCGACACTCAAACTGGGTCACGCTCGAAAATACGTTCAAACCGGCATTGACACTTGAAGAAATGTGATTCATCAGCCAATGAAGCTCGGCTGGGACTTTTGTAATGAAAGATGGTTTTCAGCAGACATCTAAAGCGATGGAAAAAAGTTTAGAAACAACGATTTTTTTGGTTTTTTTCATAATGTTAAGTACGTAGCTCCAATCCAAATAGTGATTTTAATAGCCAATGGAGTTTTCTATCCAATATACTTTATAGCAAGATCTCACAGATGAACAATGATGGCAAGGCTTCTAAAAAACCGAGCACGGTCTTTTCAGGTTCTAGAAGACTTTAGCAGAGCTATTTTTGAACGGTACCATCTTAAAGAGCACAAAATTCTAAGCAAAATGAGAGGTCACCGAGTTTTCTACGAACTTCTTGCAAAAAGCTACAAGCATCACAAAAAACATGAAAAAGTCGTTTTTAGTCGATTTTAAAAAAAATTTCATTTTTTCATGATTTTTGTGATGCTTGTAGCTTTTTATGAGAAGGTCGTAGAAAACTCGGCGACTCCTCAATTTGCTCAGAATTTTGTGCTCTTTAAGATAGTATCGTTCAAAAATAGTTCTGGCAAAGTCTTCCAGAACCTGAAAAATACCGTGTTCGGTTTTTTAGGAGCCTTGCCATCATTGTTCATCTGTGAAATCTTGCTATAAAGTATATTGGATAGAGAACTTCATTGGCTATTAAAATCACTATTTGGATTGGAGCTACATGCTTAACATTATGAAAAAAACCAAAAAAAAATCGTTGTTTCTAAACTTTTTTCCACCACTTTACTCTTATTGATTGTTTTACGAACTTTCGAGATTTTCCATATTCAATATTTTACCTTTCGAGATTTTTCCCTTCGATCAATTAGCACTTCCCCCTAACTATCACTGTCAATGGTTGATGTTTTTGTAAAAACAGATCTAGTGATCAAAATTCATTATTAAAACAGCAAGATTTTAGATAGTCTTTCACTCAGAACATCATCTAAAATCAGTGTTGAAGTATAGAGATAAAAATTTGAATGTCCACTACCCACACCCTTTTCATATTATTTCTTTCTTAAAACTAACAATTTTTAGTTTGTTCATGTTTTTTTTTATTAATATAATGTTATTACCCACGATATAATAAAAATAAATATAAAGCAATTTAATTAATGTTAAATGAATTACATAGACACACAAAATAATGTAAAAAAGATTATTGAAATACTTGTTTGTTTTTTGTCTTATAAAGCGAAAAACTATACAAGAAGATAAAATTTAAAAAAAAAGAAAGCAAGAAAAAAATTATTCATTATTTGATTGATTTATCATGACTTGAAGAAAAAAATAGCTGCATTCGTTTACAGATTTCGATCATTAATTATGTTTTTTATCATTATCATATATTGTTTGAATTTTTTCATATGCATCAATCATTCGTTGTCGGGTCATATCAGTTAATCGTTGAAGATCATTTTCAATTGTCATACCTTTAGTATCAATTGGTTCAAGACATTTAATTATAACACAACCTCGACGCCAATAATAAATATTATCTTTTTTATCGGAATTGTAGAGTGATTTATAAGATGAAAAAACAACCGGTACAATAGGAACTTGTGCTTCAATTGCTAGACGAAAAGCACCAAATTTAAAGGGAAGAAATGTTTCATCCATACTTCGTGTTCCTATTTAAACAAATGATATTTAATTTTTTCTTTTGTTTTATTTTAATAGTTACCTTCAGGAAAGACCCATAATCTTAATGATTTTTCTTGTACTTTCTTAGTTAAAAGACGCATTGTTTCACTTGATCGTTCACGATTTTTTCTATCAACATATTCAACACCGGCTAACCATGCTGTAAAACCAAATGGTAAAGCCCAAAATAATTCTTTTTTAGCTAAAATTGTACAATATCGAACATATTCAGACCAAAGTTGCATCATTCCAATAAAATCTATAGATGATTGATGATTTGCAACAATAACACAAGGTCCAAGTTTATTTAATATTTCACCATTTTCAATTCGATATTTTATACCAAATAAATTAAATATTGGATTCATAATTCGTGCACCTAAACGTATATTTAATGGATTACGTGGTCGAATAAGAAATACCGGTATGAGTATTATTGATAAGAACATAATAATACCAACATATAGTATATATTTAAGTCGATGTATTTGTTTTTCATTGAGAACATATTGAACAAGTAAATAGATTATAATAATAATAGAAATGAGACCAATTATCCAAAGACTGAGACAAGTCATGATCTTTCGTTGTTATCTAAAAAATAAGAAAGTCTTGTTTTTTATTTCATTTGATTAATTATAAAAAAAAAAGAAACTACATGTAATCAAAAATGTTGATGAGATTGAAATATACTATGATATACAAAAAAAAGAAAAGAAAATAAATGCACTACTAACTCTAAATCATCTGCACCATATTCATCATCAAAACATACAAAAAAAAAAGAAAAGAAAACTTATTTTTCATAATATCATTACTATCATATCGATATTTTGCAAAAAAAAAACACATGTTAACCGAATGCAAGGAAAAATACAAAAAAAAAAAATAAACAAAATCCATATATCCAATAATGATTGACAATCAAACAAGTGAATGGCCAGAAACGAACAAAAAAAAAAATAGAAAATCAATTTTATCAACGATTATATTTACTCAATGTTTTTTTTCTTTGTGTTTTTTGAAGAAAATCACATATATACAATGATCAGGACTAGATATGAGATTGCGAAGAAAAAAAAAAAGAAACACTTTTACTATTACATTATTTGAAGAAAAAAAAAAAGGAAAATTACAAAATGTTTCCTTATCTATGTAATGAATATATATATATATATATGTATATATATATGGCTCTTAATCATACAAATTGTTTTATTTAAATGACACTGGAATAGCACTGACGTAATGGACTTGAACTAGTTGATTTACTTTGTTGTTGTTTTATTGTTAATGTCGAACAAGATATAGGTGATGCAATTGATTGATTAATATTTGTTGAACAACCAGGTGTATTAATTAATAATATACGAGAATTATTATTTGGTGTTAATGTATATTGTGGTATTGGAGAATGAAAATTTTGTTGTAATTGTATATCACTATTATTAATATCATTATATACAGGTAATGTTTGAAGATCTGATGTATTTGTTAAAATATATTGATCAAGTAATTTTCTATTTAATAATAAATTTTTTTCACGTTCTTGTTTTAAACTATGTCTAAAAGAACAAAAATTATTATTATTATTATCATCAAAAAAAAAAAAACATACCGAAGACATTCACGACTTGTTGGTATTGTTGGATTAACAAGAGGATCAATTAATAACTAAACAAAAAAAAAATATATATATATAATGGGTGGTCGAAAAGTTTTGACTGTTTATCGCGCATTTAAATGCAATGAGAAGGAGTAAGAAGTAGTGAGACATAATCAGAATTTGATGCTCTGAAGATGAGCAGCTAGGTCAAATTTTCAAAAGAAACTTTGTGAAGAGAGTTTTCTAGAAAACTGTGCAGGCGGAATTTCAAGCCCTAGAAGATTTTTCAATATAAGCATCTGAAAGAGCAGAAAATTCTGAACAAAATGAAGGATCACCCAGCTCTGTACGATATTCCGTCACAAAATTATAAAGCATAATGCTTATAATTTTGTGACGGAATATCGTACAGTGCTGAGCGATCCTTCATTTTGTTCAGAATTTTCTGCTCTTTCAGATGCTTATATTGAAAAATTTTTCTGGAAAACTCTTTTCACAATTGAAAATTTGACACATATTGTATTCGATAGAAAATTTCAAGAGCTATCCAAATCACTATTTAGATTTTTACCTAGCTACTCATCTTCAATCAAAAAAACTTCAAAAATAAAAGTATCTTAAATTTTTGCGATTCATTTTACTTGTAGCTCAATAGCAAAAAGTCATAGAAAAATTCTGATTCTAACTCACTACTTCCCATTGTATTAAAATAGACAAATATTTTCAAAGAATTAAACTTACTTCATAAGCTGATGGTCGTTGTTTAGGATCAATATTACACATACGTTCAAATATAAGTTGATTAAATTGTTTTGAACATTGTTTAATTGTATATAAATATTTTGAAATATTTAAACGTATTTCTTCCCATTCATTATCTTGTTTTGGCATAATATAATTTGTACCACAAACATATAATGTTAAACCTAATGAATAAATATCACATTTATCTAAATATAAATTATTTATTTTTGATGATTTTTGTAATATTTCTAATGGTAAATAACGACAATCACCATCATTATCAATATAATTTAAACTTATTTGACTAACATGTCCTAAATCAGTTAATTTATATAAAATTTCATGATTTTTATAATAACATAACATTATATTTGATGGTTTAATATCTAAATGTGCTAAATCATTTTTATGCATAAATGTTAATACATCACATATTTGATGAAGTATATTTTTTAATATATCTTCATTAAGATATTTATTATCATAACGATTTTTTTCAATTAATTCATCTAATGAACCACCATTACAATATTCTAATTGTAAAAAAAATTTTCCATCATTTTCAATCCATCCGGAATAATAACGTATTAAATTTTCATGTGATGATAAATATGCATATGCACATATTTCACGCCATGCTTGTTGTTCATATGATGTACCAATAAGAGAATTTTTTGAAATTTTTATTGCATAATTTAAACCATCAAGACGATTTTTACATAAATAAACATATGAAAATTCACCAGAACCAAGACATAATTCATAATGAAATTCTTGTTCATATCGTTGAATAAAAAAATTTTTTAATAATAATTGTGTTTTTTTAACAAGACGTGTTTGATAATGATGTTTAGTTTTAAATGGATTTATATTAATTAGATCTGTAAATGTTAATGATGATGATGATGATTTATTAATATATGGTGATTGATTTTGATTATTACGTGAACGACGTTGAATTTTAGGTGTTTGAATTGTTATTTGTTGTGTATAATCAAGATTTTTACGTCTTGTATATGGTGATTGATTTGGTGTTTGATATTCAAATTTATCATTTGTACGTTTACGTTTTCTATTTGTTGAATTTGTAATTTTTGTTGGTGTTGATTCTATACTATTATTATATATAAAATTATCTTGATTATCATCAAAATTTAATTGTGGTGAAAATGATAAACGTGTATATTGATTAAATTGTAATGATAAATAATTACTACTGTCATTTGATTGTTGACTAGCTACATCAGATTCATCAGAATCAAATATAGGTGCTGGTATTGGACTTGGATAAGATGGCATTGTTACACAATCTAAACAAAAAAAACAATGATATAGTTTAGTCTGACGGATGACGGCTGACTGACTGAGAGATCGTACGGGTCAAACTACAGAAAACAAAGAAATGACGTTCGATTAACCAATAGAAATCATCGGTTGCAAAAACAAAAGCGTCCTCTATTTTACTAGAGAAAGAATTATATACATCTTATAGATTTCTAATGAACATTCGGAATGTGGAATGTCGTGATCTCTTTCGAGAATATGAAGTTTCGAAATTTAAGACACAGATTTTAATGAGAATAAATGATTGTAAAAATTTTAAAATTTTCCTTTTGAATATCGACTATTTGTTGTTGTATATGAGCGAAATGAAAAACATACTTTTTAGCAATCAAAAGATCTGAAACTTTTACAATAAAGTTCAAATTTGAAAATTAATGTTTTTGACGAGAGGGGCTATAGGATTCTATTAAAAATAGAGTATTTCAGCAATAATAAGTTCGAACTTGATTTAATACTTAGAAATATTTCATCATCATCATATTTCTCTCAGAAACTTCGTCATTAATTTATATATTCTTTCCTTTTTAAGGATGAAATTTATTGAGTAAAACAAAAATAAAAATAACTTAAGTAATATAAAATGTATTACCCACCTGTCATGCTTGAAGTTGTTTTTTGCAAGAAATATCTTACAAATTATGTATTGAATTATTTCGAACGTCCCTTTAAATGCTGACAATTCTAATCGACTTTGTCTATTGATTGCAATTTAGACTAGTCGATGGAAATGAAATAGAATGAAAACAAGCGGACGGACATAGGTGAACTTAAAATGTTTGCATCCGACGAATATTCTAACGAGCAACTATTGATTGGTGTTTATATAAGAAGAATGCTATGCAATTTTTTAGATTTTCAAGCAAAAATAAAAGCTGACAAAAATATAGTTACTCAAATTTTCAAGTGCGAATATTGTATTATTGAAAATTATAGACGTATGCATAGAAGTCAGTCTCAATGATCGAATCAATCTTGATTATATTTATACAATAGTTAAAATTTGCTTATCAAAAAATATTGAAAGATTTTTAGTTTCTTTTGTGAAATCTATACTTATTCAACTACAATCGCTTTTCAACGATTTATTAATTTAACTTTTTTTTTTTTAATGAGAAGTAAATCAATATGTATTACTATGATTCAATATTACTGTGCAGCTGTTAACATATATATATATATCCTATGATGATTTATGATAATACAATACACATAACTTCATGTTTTTTTTTTCTCATCCTACCTGTGAATGTTAAAATATATGTTGCTTGCAGTAGAGAAGTTACTTCTGCTTATCGGACTAGAAATTCACTGGTCAGTATAATGAGACTTTATCGTGAATCGTTTCTTCTGTGTTTTTACTCTCCATTTTTCATCTGATTCTTTCTTTCTCTCAAACAAAACTAGTTGGTATGAGAATTTCATTCGATTGTAAAATCATCAATATCAGAAAGAAAATATGAAGTAGCTATTCCGAAAATGAATCACTGAGAAAACTTCATTAATAGATGATTTTAATGAATACTTTCGATTGATCATTTAATTCATTATCTATCATCAACTGTATATTCATAGTTATCTTAGCTATAAGCAAAGAGTAACGATTGACATTTATTGTTGTCTTCATTTTAATAATTTCGAAATCTTAAAAAAACAACAAAGTTTACAAAAATTTGTTTTGTTTTTTTTTCGTTAGTTTTCTGTAAGAAAATAGAAACTCATATTAAAGATCAATAAATAGATATCATGAGATTTCATTCTCGCGTTTTGAACGAGTATCTTATGACTTTCATTTCTTGAAGTCATGACAATTTCGAATGAACTTTACATTTCTCATAAACATAGATTTGAATCAATTTTAAAGATCATTCAAATATTTATCATAGTTTTATTCAAGACAAAGTAATTATTCGTATATATTGTTGATCAATCAATAAATTAAATCTTTACTGATTTTAATCAATTTTTTTATGACGAATATAATGTCATATCAATATTTAATACAACCAATGAATCAAGTTTAAAATTTGTTTATTTTCTCTTCAATTCAAAAAATTATAAATTTATCTTTACTCGATATTTTATTAGGCTAGTCAGGTCACTTATTTTCGACCAATGTTTGTTTATATAGCAATTAGACGCTTCTTTCTGCTAGTTAGGCTGTTAAAAATGACATCAGGTCATCATAAAGGCATTGTCTACCGTCAAATGTTGTCAGGTCATATGTCGAATTCGCCTTTCAACTTCATTGTTTTTTATTTATGTTATGTTCTACAGACTAGTCTGGATGGGCGGATAAACAAAAAGACTAGATATGACGGATTTCAAGGACATACAGAACTGATCTAGACGTGATTGTAGGACGTCTTTTTTTGTCACTGAATAATGCAAATCAAAATTAATTTAACTACTCTGAGAAAATGTTCTACGATAGCATACATATACATCATTTATACAAATTGTAGTAGAATGAATCGTTCAAAAATAATTAAGAAATGACAATAACTATGTTGTTATGTAATTTCATATTACAAATAATGATCATAAATTCTAGATCGAAAATAATTTGCAAACAATTATATAGATACATTAAATAAAATTGAAATTGGACATAGATATATTTGCTACTATTAATAAAAAAGTGCAAGATTTCGTCCTATTCACCTAATTTTTTCTTTTTCTGTACATCTATTTATATATACTCAACGTATTATATATATATATAAAAAGAAGATTATTCAACCAATGAAATTAAGCATTACAGCTACGAAATACAATGTGATGCACAATGTATTGCATTTTTTTTTCTGCTATCGTAAGTATGACGTGGTAATTGTCGATAAAAGTTTCGCAAACGTTATTTTTGTTCTGTAATGAATAAAACTAACGTGTATAAAAATTTCTAATGCAAAAGGTAATAGTATATATATAATACGCGCACAATTATTAATTTATATAAGAAAAAAAAAACAAACAAATGAGTGGTGACCTAACTTATACGCATTATCAAATGGCTACGAATGATTTTGCCAATGATTTGAAAAGTTTATCTTTATCTGAAACAGCAAATAAATATTCAAATATAATTGAACGTTTAATTATTCAATTAAAACATGCAACACCAAATGGATTAATGGAAAATAAACCATTTGGTGTTGTTATTATTGATAATTTATATCGAATAATTCCAATTTTTGATAAAAAATTATCAGATGATAATGAAAATTCGCATCAAACAAATTTATTTTTAGAAGCATTATCAAATACATTTCATGGTTTATGTTTATTAGAATTATTTCTTGCAATTAAAGATTCATATCGTCTTGAAATTATTTTTCATAATTATATTCCTTTACTTAAAGAAAATTATTTTACAAATGACAATAGATATGATCATCTCGTTAATTGTTTATTACCTATCATTGCTTATTCAAGTCCATTACTTCCAGTTAATGAAGCTGATCTACCACCAAATTTTCTTTCATTTTTACTTGAATTTACTAAAAGTAATTGGCAAAATCAACAAAGAAATACAATTATTAATAATATTCTTCATTTAATAAAAGTATTTAGTAGAACACCAACATTAGTACCAATGGTAATTCGTACTGAATGGCCAAATGCATGTATTCAATGGATAAAAGAAACTGGACCAAGACCACTATATGAAACTGATTATTTAATTAATCTTATTTTATCAAAACTTGCTCGACATACAATTTCTGTTGAAGTATTAAACCAATTAGATTGTATTAATGCTCTAACTGAAAGTCATGAACAAATGGAAAAAGATCATAATGAAGAAGATTATTTATGTATTCGTTTTATTCAATGTATAACTCATGCTTTACTTGAAGAAGCCAGTACAATCAAACAAAAAGTTATTGTACCTAATAAACAAGGTTGTCATATACTTGATCAAATGATTTCATTTGTAATGACTGCTTCACAAACTGGTGTATATTTTTACAAATGTTGTCATGTAGCAGAAGTTTTATGTGCTTTAAGTAAATTATTTATTAATGATGAATTACTTATCAAATGTTTAAATGAACATAATCAATTATTAGATTGTTTATGTCAATTACTTATTAAAAATGCAACAATGACACATAATACAAACCGACTTGATCAATTTTTGAATGATGAAACATTAATAGGATTAGTTAATCTTTTATGGAGTATATCATTTCATGAATCTTATCATGAAAAATTCAAATCAAATATTAATTTTATGAATAAATTATCAAATTTAGCTACATCATCATTATTATATACAACTACACAAATTAAAGCAATTCCACGTGATACAAGTTCAATAAAAAAAGCAGCCGAAGGAATTTTATGGAATTTAAAATTTTCATATTTACCTACAACAAAAGAAAATTCAGAACAACAATCACATATTATGATTAGTTATTCACATTGTAATTCAATATTTTGTCATGAACTTGTTGAACATTTATCTAATCATATACCTGTTTGGGTTGATTATAAACAAGAACATAGTAGTATTTATTCAGATGATCTTTGGGAAGAAATTGCTGGTGCTATGGAAACAGCTACTATTATTGTTTTAATTGTATCAAAAGAATATTATGATTCAAAATCATGTAGACAAGAACTTTCCTATGCTTGTGATACATTAAAAAAACGTATTGTACCTGTATATCCTCCAAATCAAACTTATAAAGCAAATGGTTGGCTTGGAATTCGTATAGCTGGACAAAAATATGTACATTTTGGACGAAGTATTTTTACAAGTGCTCTTCATGAACTTCTTTCTATTTTGGCTGTTGATCAAAAGTCTATTACAACACAAAAATCATCCAATAATATAATTTCAACAAAATCGGATAAACAAGAAAATTCATTAAAAAATTGGGTATCAAAAGATATTCAAAAATGGTTTAATGATAATCATATTCATAATGATTTAATTACACTTTTTGCTGATGAATTTCATACAGGTACAGCATTACTTGTTTATGCTCGTCATTTAAAACAATTTTATCGAGAAGAATATGGACAAATATTAGCAAATTATTATAAAAAATTTAATGGTAAACGACTTCAAACAGTTGATTTTATTACATTTGTTGATGCATTTTGGCGATTACGTGAAGAATATGATATTCAACATAGAATCCAAGATGCTTGGGATAAATGTAATAAACAACAATTATCACATGCAACAAACGATTCTAATGGAGAAACAATTTGTTTTTAAATGTAAATTTTTTGCAGTCAATTGATTATTTATCAATATTTTTTCTATATTCCTTCATAAACTTCATTCTAGTTATTTAAATAAAGATAAAACTTTTCAAAATAGATATTGTTCTATATTCATAAGAAGATTAAAGATGATTTAATTAAATAATCTAGAAGAATTCGTAATATATCTCAAATTCATACGAGTTTTTACTATAAATCTCTGACTTGCAAAAAAAAAAAAATCTACAACAAAAAGCAACATGACAAAAATATATTTTACTTCGGTGATACTAGTATTTTAATAGTTATGATGATAGTGATTATTTGTTATCATTCCAACTGTTGAAAACAGATAATCATTTTTTAGACTGTAACCTGTCATCCTAGATTACATACACTTTTTTATCAGAATGTAAACGACGTCATTCAAGATTGTTTTCGTCAAAAATCGATACGTTGTATTAGGACCGTACTTTCATAGTATAATATCTTATTTACATCATGTCTTATCACATACGGTACAACATAATTGTTACATCCTTATTTACATTGATGTATATATGGTTATTTAAGTTTTTAATCCGTTACTTATTTGTTGAATCAATCTCTATCCAACAATCACTAACTTTTTCTTATATTTATGTCGTTCTATTAATGTACTCCTTTACAAAAGATTGCACACATATATATATCTTTCGTTAATAAATCCTAAATGCGCAATTACACTAACATAGATTAAGGACAAAGATATAATTTCTTTCTTTTTTACTTTTTATGATCAGAGAAAATATAGAGATGAAAAGGACAAACAAGAGTATTTCGATTAAAGAAAAAGAACGAACATATATAAAAGAAAACAAAGAACATACTAATGAAAAACATCTATAGCAGAACGAAAGAAAACATTTTTTACGACGCATTGTATGTGCCATAACAGTAATTATTTCAATAGCAGCCTTGATTATACTGTTCTGTTACTATAGAAAATATTTTTAAAATCCAACAATTATCTTCAATCTTCTTTAATTATACATCATTATATGTATATGAAAAATTATTTATCAAAAAAAAAAAAAATCACTCCAAAAGACAAGCATCTTTAAACATCCATATGTTTATTCTAATATATAAAATGTATTGTTCTCGAAGAAAAATCAATACAAAATCTTCTTGACCACAACAAGACACACGAAATAAAACACTCTCTTCGTTTTACTCGCAAAACTATCACTATACAATAATATACAATAGGAATAAAAACAAAAAAGAAAAACTTGATTATTATTAGTTCAAATAAAACAGGATCGATCGATCGATCGACAAAATATTTTCTTTTGACGATCAAACAATAGTTCAATACAAACATATATATCAGAAAAGCACAATGTCTACTTTTCACAAATAGTTTCAAACATATGAAAAACAAAAAAAAAATCTTTTCGAGAACAAACAAGAAAAAAACACACACACACACGCATTGCATAGAAAAAAAGAAAACAAAATACAAAAAAAAGAGTATAACATCATTTTCAATACGGTTTAGAATTAATTTTATATATGAGGTAACGGTTGTTGTCGTCGTGTTGTTGGTTGATGATCAGCAAGTGGTTTTGGTCCATGTTTATTTACCCAACATTGTTTACAATAAGATCTTAAACAATGAAAATTTCGACAAAATAAATCAGCAATTGCTGAACAAAATGCACAAGGTTCATTTTCACGTAAAAATGGATCAATATCAAGCTAAAAATATTAATTATTATCAATAATAATAAAAAAAAACATATGAAAAAAAAAAATCACCAATTTATGAAAACAATCACATTTAATATCAATAGAACTAGCAGCTACTGCACGCATATAACTATGTGAATCCGAAAATAATACTGTACCAGTACCTAAATAATTTCAATTGATTAAAAACAAATCATTTTTTTATTTTTCAAATTTATTACCTGTTGGATATCCATATTTATCTGTATTTATTTGAGCCATTGATACTGATCCAAATACATTTGACATAATTGTAGCTAAACTAAATGCTGTCATTTTACCATGTAATGGTGATATAAATATTGTACGTGACCAATCTTTGAATATTATATCACCATTTGATGTATCAAATTTTTGCATGATATATACATTATCTCTTACATTCCATGGTACAACTTGAATCTATATTCAAATAAGTTTAATAAAATAAAAATTTAAAAACAAAAAAAAAAGCTTAATACTGGTTTTAATCGATTTGTACGCATAGATAAATCAATTGATGATGATGATGATGATGTTGTCATATGAATATGAAGAAAATAATCAATTGTTGAATGTTGTTGTCGAATACAATGTTTAAGAAGTTCACATACAGAACGTGATTCACGAAATACTACATGACAAAAACCTATATAACAAACAAATAAAAATGAATTGTTGAAATTATGAAATCTCTATCCGAAATTTTATCTGAGTATACGTAGATTTTTCAAAGAAAAATAGATTTACTTTGCGTTAGCGATATAACGAAGTGTGAATATACAAACGAAAAAAAAAACGCTTTTATAACTGAATGAGAAATTTAAAATTAATTCTAAATGGTGCAAACTATTCTTCAGAATCTCTAGAAAATCAGTTTTTAAGAAAAGTTTTTTTTTTTTGGGTTCGATCTTGCCTGAAAACGTCACCATAGATGTACTTCATGCCATAGAGGCTATAGAGAGATATTTTTTGTAATTAATTTTGACTAATAGTCAACTCAAAGAGCTAATATTTTTACATACTAGCGAGAGTACAGGCATACTGCACGAATGTTTTGTTCCTGTAAAATTTCACATCTGTCCTTTAGCCTTGATTCGGTAATAGAGAATCAGACAGTTCGCATTATATATCTCAAGAAGCTTTATATCCTTGAAGTCTTACACTCTTGTAGCCTTATACTGTTGTGGTATTACCTCTTATAACCTTATTCCATTATTCTTTTCTCCCTTATATTTCATGCAGCCTCCTCTACTTATCCACTATATTCTTTTAGTTTTATCCCTTTACCCTTATCCTCTACCCCTTATAGCCTTATAACTCTTGAAGACCTATGAGTGCCTCCGTGTAATAGCCCTTTAGGATCTACAGGTATTCCTACATAATAGCCCTAGAAGGGTATCTTCATATAATAGTCCGTGAGGACCTATGGGTATCCCAGTATAGCAGCACTTATAGCCTTCCATGTATAGCCTTATTTGACCTGGACATAGACACGTCAGATAAACACTAAACATTATATATATAGATGTCTATGCCAAAATAATCCTTGTAAAGAATGGATATGTTTCGTTTTGTCTGAAACAGTGTATATACTAAATAAGAAAAAAAAAAGAAGAGCCGAACCGGGCATGTTGTGATTGATTCCATCGTTTTTTGGCCATTTAATATTACATTTGCCAAATTTTCGTAAAATAAGCAAAAGTTCAGCTAGACAAAGAAAAACATCAAATATAAGAGATCATAAAAGAAAACATTTTCTTGTCTAACCTTCAGTAAGTTCAGTAGGAATACCACCGAGAAATACTTTTTGTGAGAAATTACTTGTCATTTGATATTGATCCATTAACATGGGTTCGAATTTCATGGGTAAATAACCACGCCAAGATGGCATTGAATTCGATCGATTTGCACTATGAATTAGTTGTGGCGCCGGTAGTTGTTGTTGAACAATAGGACCCGTTTCTATAATACTTAAACTATTTCTTTTTTTTACAAGTAAATAATCCGACTCTATACCATAACTGGGTAATGTTGATGACATGAGTACCCATGAATGTGGTACTCGTTGAAGATCACTATCTGCCATAGTTGATGGAATATTTTCGATGGATGAAAGTGTTTGACGATTTGATAATGGTGTTGGTAATGGCAAGAATGAAGATGCCGAAGGAAATATATTTCCATTTGACATAGTTAATTGTTCAGTTGAATTTTTAAATTCTGATCGAAACTAAATTATTATTTAGAATATGAAGGATAATAAGAAAATTAATGAAAGTTCTTTTAGTGTAACTTACCGATCGTTGATTAGTCGTTTTATGATTACCAATACTATTAAATGACATAATTGATGATGATGTCGATAAACGAGACATTGGTGAGATTAATACATCAGTTATAGATGATGAAGTCATATTTCTATTGGTTCTAAATTGAATAAGTCATTAATTAATTTATGTTGAATATTATTTATTAACGTACAGAAAATCATTGATAAGATAAGTCGATTTTGAAGATGGTTGTGGAATTGAAGAATTGGACTGAAGATTCAGATTTTCGGCATCCGATTGCCTATAAAAACGAACAAAAAGAATAAAGATATTCAAAAAAAAAATTCAATTGATTTACCATCGGGATACTGTAGAAAATCGTTCTGAATTGAAATCATCGAGAAAAAAACTCTGATCGTCATTGAAATTTGTAATATTATTGATGTTAGCCATTGTAAATGATGAACGAAGTGGTGGAAGTACTGACATGGTAGATAAAGAAGAAACAGTACTATTGCTACCAATAGAATCATGCGATGAAAATTCTGATAATACTAAATGAACAAAACAAAAAATTCTTCATAAAATTAGGATAGATTGAATATTAAGAAGAAATCATACTTGAATCAGGAGAAGTAGATATTGTTGTTAATTTCTCATCCATTATCGTTCAAAAACTTGCTTATTTTAATTTTAAAATAATCTGAATCTAATATATATAAATACTTATTTATGCGGCCGACTGTATAGCAGATAGACTATCTAGTTCGACAGCTTCAAAAAAAGATAGCACATGGAAAAGAATCATGCGTATATATATATACATATATATGCATTGTATATATCGTTGTTTTTGAAAGACATTGTTCACAAATGGATGTATGTATGATTATATCGAGAGAGAAAAGAATAGAAAGAAGATCACATATATGTATATAAGATGATGTAGAAGTGCATAAAAGAGAATGGATATTTTATTTCAGTTAAACTAGGATCGACTGAAAAGGTCACATTTTAATATTGTTATGCATTGACAATTTAAAGAAATTTTCGTAAGAAAAAAAAATCATGACAAACATACATTGAAATACAAGAAAGCATAAACTTTCCTAACTTTTTCTCACATTTTAGTTAGTAGCCCATGAATATATTATCTTTATCCTTTAGTCAATTCTAATTGTAAACGAACCTGCTCGACTATCAAATTCTATTGAAGTAAATATCTAAATAGCAGTACACATACAATGAACTACATCACCAATATGATTTATCTAGTCCTTGATTTTTTTTAAAAATTCTATTCAACATTGAAATCTTCTCGAAAAGTTATTGATGTTGATAGTAGTTGTGAATTAGAAAAACATTATAATTTAACTCAACGATTAATAGAAAAAAATATATCGTTCATAAGTTGTAAATCATTTGTCAAGACCATCATACATGAATAAAATTATTCAATTGTTCAATAGTTTTTAATCTTATGAAAGATGTTTTAAGTAAAATTTGTGTCTATTTTTGTCTGGCTGAAAATTTTTGCAAAACTTATATTTAAAGTGAGGTCTTAATAGGTATATTATTCTTTCAAGATTCTTCACTAGTTGACAACGATTACGAATACAAAAAAGTGACATAAATTATTTGACCTTATATTTACTTAAATATCTGTCAGAGAAGGCAAGATATGTAAACAGAATGAGAGAAAAAAAAAGGAACAATTAAGGCAGATGGAGAAAGGTACATAGAAGCTATCTGCATTTATCGAGTTGCACCGATAATATCTCCATGATAACGGACAACATACACATATATTGAGTAGTAAAACATAATGTAAATTCTTTCAAACAGAATGAACAACAAAACTGACGATATGAATGAGATTAATGATGATACTAACAAAGTACTACAAGAATTAATTCAATGTCCAATATGTCTAAGACGAATGCATCAAGAAGTTTTTGTCAAACATCCAAATGTTTGTCGTAAAAGTCCTGCAAATAAACGAAATGTACATACATTTGATATGACACAATATCGTTCTGTAAGAGCAGGTGAAAAAATTATACCAGTACATGAAATAAAACCATTTAAAAACGATAAATCTAGCAATATCAACGTACGACCTTCTCAAACACGAAGTGTTAAACGTGAGCGTCGTTCAGATACTTTCATACCACCTGTTATCGACAATTTCTGTATGTATATATATATATATATTTAATCTATATTAATCATACGACTTGTTTTTAAAAATCCTTAATATTGGATATATATGTATCAAATATATTTAAAATTGTTTGAGTACTTAGTATTCAGACAAGAATATCAAGATTCGAAAAATTTTCCAAAGATCTAAACTGAACAAAAAAGAACATAGAAATATAGTCTTGTTTAAAACATTTTATTAGTTAACTATAGATGATATATATGCAGTATACTCGATATATTACAACAGTTTTGAACAATGTAAATGTCTATATAAGTAGAAATTTTATCATTATAATACTTTGATCTCAAATGTATATTAAGGACTGATTTGTTTAATCACTTTTACTGAAACGAGTTTTATTTTTTTCATTTCAATTAATATAGGTTGTCCAATATGTAAACGTAAA